AGTCGGCCTTGACCCCAACTCAACAGATCCACTTCATAGGCGCCCTTTTGAACTCCACTACCGAGAGGGCTTACCTTCCGGACGACCGATTTGTAAATCTACAGGCCTTGGTCCATCAAGCAATTTCTGCTCCATGTCTTACTGCCAGACAAATCCAGACACTCCTAGGTCACATGGCCTCTGCTACTGCGGTGGTGCCGTATGCCAGACTGCGTATGCGCCCACTTCAATACTGGTTCATATCGGTATACAGCCCTCTCCTGGACAGTCAAAACACCAAACTGTCCATTCCAGAATCTGTCCGCCAATCCCTCCGGTGCTGGGGGGACAAGGAATGGGTGTGCAGGGGATACCCTTTTCATGCTCCACGTGTTACATGCATACTTACGACAGACTCTTCCCTCTCGGGATGGGGTGCCCATACACAGGGTCTCACCGCTCAAGGAGAGTGGACAGAGGAAGAAAGCACATCACATATAAATCTTCTCGAATTGCTCGCAGTCGACAGAGCACTAAAGTCCTTCGAGAAGGTGGTAGAAGGTCAGACCGTCCACATTCAAACAGACAACACCACAGTCATGTTTTATTTAAACAAACAGGGCGGCACACATTCCCGTCACCTGTTGGATCTCACTCTCAAGATTTGGGAGTGGTGCATAGACAGAGGCATTCACCTAGTGACGACACATGTCCCGGGGGAGGACAATACACTGGCAGACTCACTCAGCCGGAAACCTCTGGCGAATCACGAGTGGGCCCTCAATCAGGAGGAGACAACCAGGCTCTTCAGAGCTTGGGGATATCCAGAGGTGGACCTGTTTGCTTCCGCAGCAAATGCAAAATGCGCCCTTTTTTGCGCACGGCGGAACGTTTCTCTGCAGGAGGGTTGTCTGGGGGACGCATTCCTCCAGAACTGGTCGGGTCGTCTAATGTATGCTTTCCCACCCTTTCCCCTGTTGCTGAAAGTGGTGGCGAAGATGCAGAGGGAGAACACGAGCTGTATTCTGGTGACTCCGTGGTGGCCACGGCAGCCCTGGTTCGCTCCTCTGCTTCGGATGTCCAAGAGGAATTTCTTCAGGTTCCCCAACAGGGTGGACCTCCTGTCAACACAGGGAGGCAGGGTGTTTTACCCAGATGTACAAGACCTGCGGCTGACGGCGTGGAAAATACAGCCGAACCAGTGATTCAAGTTTCTAATTTGTCAAAAGATATTCAGGCTATTTTGGAGGCGGCCCATAAGGCATCAACAAAGAAGTCCTATGTATACAAATGGTCAAAGTTTAGTGCATTTGCAAACAGGAAGGGTGTAAGCCCCATAACAGCCCCAATAGAATTAGTGTTGGATTTCCTTATGTCTTTAGCGGACGCAGGGTTGTCCCATTCATCTCTCAAGTGTTACCTGGCGGCAATCTCCTGGTACCGAAGGAAGAACGGTCTCCCGTCTTGCTTCACTCACCCTCTGGTTAAACTTTTTCTACGGGGAATGGCAAACACTAGGCCTCCAGTAGCCCCAATAGTTCCATCATGGAGCCTTGAATTAGTGCTTTCATACCTAACCAAACCGCCCTTCGAACCTTTAGCTTCAACGCACATTTCTTACCTATCCTGGAAAACGGCGTTCTTAGTAGCCATCACGTCGGCAAGACGTGCAAGTGAGTTATGTGCTTTGAGGGTGGATCCCCCATACTTAAGGTTACATAAAGACAAGGTGGTACTTAGAACAGATGTTGCCTTTTTGCCAAAGGTCTCGTCTTTTTTCCATATGTCTCAGGACATAGTACTCCCTGCTTTTTTCCAAAATCCCTCTTCGCCTATGGAGCGAACATTGCACCTCTTAGATGTCAGAAGAGCCTTAGCTTATTATGTTGACAGAACTACAACACTAAGAAAAACACCACGTCTCTTTATTAAATACCGCAAGGACATGGAGGGCCAGCCCTTGTCGTCACATAGATTTTCCTCTTGGATTGTTTCTACTATTAAATTATGCTACCAATTGGCTGGCAAAGACTTACCGTTACAGGTCAAGGGCCATTCCACCAGGGCCATGTCTACTACTGCGGCTTTCATGAGAGGAGTACCTTTAGATGTCATCTGTCGGGCGGCCATCTGGACGAACCCGCTGTCTTTCGTGACTCACTACAAGCTGGATTTAGCTTCAAAGAAAGATGCCGAGTTCGGCAGGGCGGTGCTGTTTACGGCGGTGGCATGACTCCCACCAACCACGGTCAGTAGCTCGCTAATCTATCAATTGTATGCTTCGCAGGGACTACGTAAGGAAATTATAAGTTGCTTACCTGTAACTGTAGTTTCCTTAGTAGTCACCTGCGAATGCATACATACCCACCCTCCTCCCCTCGGGTGTCATGCCGTGCCTTCCAGCTGTTTTGCGGCGGAAGAGAACTGACGGTTGGCCCCGCCCACGGGCTATTTATACCAGGGGAAGGGGGCGTGGCCTATCTAACTGTCGTTCTTTTTGATTTAGAAGGTTCCGAATGCTGCTGCACGAGTGCAGAGAATATCAAATGTAGTTTGGGGAAAATAGAATCTTGACATTTGGGAGTTGTAGTTGCTGGGATTATAGTTCACCTACAATCACAGAGCATTCTGAACCCCACCAACGATAGAATTGGGCCAAACCTCCCACACAGACCCCCCATGACCACCAGAGTGGGCCACAGTAATGCGTGGCAGGGGATGGCTAGTATAGAATAAAATCAATGCACTTTGACACCACTTGATCTCCCAGGCTCAAGCCAACTTGTGATCATAACTCATAAAAACACTGAAAAACACAGTGGAAGGGACTTAAAAAGTTAAAAAACAAAAAATACATTACAATGCACACGCCAAACCATATATATATATATACATGCAAGCACACATATACAAATACACACACACACATATACAAAGACTGGGCCACAGCAACGCGTAGCGGGGGGGGGGGGGGCTAGTAATAATAATAATAATAATAACTCTCTGGGGGTTCTAACAGAAACAAACTGTTAAATGCAAGCTTGCTCTTTTTCTTGTCCAAGAATAATATTTCTGCCTCTAGTGCCCTCTCATGGATCTTTTTCAGCAATGCATTTTCCATGCTTCTCTTGCAATGTTTTGCAGCAGTTAAAATTCAGAAAAGGCTTCCTTTGCTCTTTGTTAACAAGGCTGGAAGAGATCATTCAGGCCAAGGAAAACAAGAGTCTGAAAGTGAAGGGTTTCTTTTATTATTTGCAGTGTTCTGGATATCAAAATCACACGAGATAAAAAGACACAATCAGGCAAAGGCAATGAGCCAGGACTGGCCGTAAGCCCTTGCAGCTCTTTTGAGGAATCCTGCCTGGAAAACACCTGGAGGCTCCCATCCCAAAAGGAAGGGAGCCACTTGCTTAATAAATCAAGAGGGCAGTTTCAAACTGACACCAAGGGAGCTGATGAACAACTGCACTGCATCCTGTCAGATCCCCAAAATCTGGAGGAAAGCAAGAGCCATCGCCATCTTGAAGCCAGGCAAAGACCGTAATGACCCAAAAAGCTACAGACCAATCTCCCTGTTGTGCCACCTCTACAAAGTTCTGGAGAGACTTATTTTGCATAGAATTACGGAAAAAATAGACCCATGTCTGATTCCACAGCAAGCTGGCTTCAGAAAAGGCAAATGCTGCACATCACAAGTGTTGAACCTGACTCATGACATAGAATATGGCTTTGAAAGGCAGCAGATCACAGGAGCTGTCTTCATAGACCTGTCAGCAGCCTATGATACTGTGAACCACCACCTCCTCCTGAGACAAATGTATAATATCACAAAGGACTACCACCTCACCCGCCACATAGGAAACCTGCTACAAAACAGGAGCTTTTTTGTTGAGTTCCAGGGCCAGAGAAGCAGATGGCAGAAACAGAAGATGCTTGCCCCATCCATGTTCAACATCTACACAAATGACCAGCCACTGCCAGAAGGGTCAGAGAGTATCATCTATGCTGATGATCGTGCCATTACCGCTCAAGCAAGGAGCTTTGAGATGGTAGAACAGAAGCTTTCCGAAGCTCTAGGAGCTCTTACTGCCTATTACAGGGAAAACCATCTGATCCCCAACCCATCTAAAACACAGACATGTGCCTTCCACCTTAAGAACAGAGAAGCATCCCGAGCTCTGAAGATCACCTGGCAAGGAATCCCACTGGAGCATTGCAGCGCACCCAAATACCTGGGAGTCACTCTGGACCGTGCTCTTACCTACAAGAAGCACTGCCTGAACATCAAGCAAAAAGTGGGTGCTAGAAACAATATCATACGAAAGCTGACTGGCACAACCTGGGGATCAAAACCAGATACAGTGAAGACATCTGCCCTTGCGCTGAGCTATTCTGCTGCTGAGTATGCATGCCCAGTGTGGAACACATCTCACCACACTAAAACAGTGGATGTGGCTCTTAATGAGACATGCCACATTATCACAGGGTGTCTGCGCCCTACACCACTGGAGAAATTACACTGTCTAGCTGGTATCGCACCACCTGACATCCGCCAGGAAGTGGCTGCCAATAGTGAAAGGACCAAGGCAGTGACATCTCCAGCTCATCCCCTGTTTGGGTATCAGCCAGCACGTCAACGACTTAAATCCAAACATAGTTTTCTAAGATCTACAGAGACACTCGCTGCAACACCTCAGCAAGCGAGAGTCCAAAAGTGGCAGGCTCAAATTAAGAACCTCAACCAATGGCTGATACCAAATGAGAAACTCCCCCCTGGGCACACAGAGGACTGGGCGACTTGGAAGGCGCTGAACAGACTGCGCTCTGGCACCACGAGATGCAGAGCCAACCTCAAGAAATGGGGCTACAAAGTGGAATCCTCGACATGCGAGTGCGAAGAGGAGCAAACCACTGACCCCCTGCTGCAATGCAACCTGAGCACTGCCACATGCACAATGGAGGACCTTCTTGGAGCAATACCAGAAGCACTCCAAGTGGCCAGATACTGGTCAAAGATCAACTACCAAACTCATACATTTTGTATTTTCTCTGTGTGTTTGCTTTGTTCTGTTAGAAATGTAATATAATTGACTGGCTGCCCTGACACGAGAAATAAATAACCAAGGGAGTTCTAAAGTGCATTGTCGGCACAGCTAAATAAATAGCGGCTTGTCTTAAATAGTCTCTTAATAAGCTGCAAACTACAACAGGGAAAAAATGGCAGGAACACAAGTGTTGACGTGAAAAAGCTTTTGAATACATATTTGTCCTTTCCCTTTAGCCACTGGCCAGCAATGGAAGTCTTTCGCCTCAGGGCTTCACGGCTTTTTGCGCCTGCAAAGAGAAGACAGGTTTGGGATCAGCCTCCGCAGGAAAACATGGAATTCACAAGAAAGTGGAATGTGGGAGGTTGGTTTGGAAGCAGATATAAAATGTTCCCCCCTCCCATGCATTCAAAAGCTGTGTCACACCCCGGAGCCACCTTAAAATGCCTAAAGCCAAATTGGAGCCCTGTCTTCATTTTTTTTTGTGATTTTTCCATTCATTTTTTTTAACTTGATCAAATTGTGTGGATATTAGTCAGCCTGAGTTCCCTCGGGGAGAAAGGCAGATTAGAAATAAAGGAGAAGGAGAGGAAGAGGAGGAAAAAGAAGAGTAGGAATAAGAGGAAGAGGGAGAACAGAAACAGAATAATAATAATACCTTATTTATATTCTGCCCTATCTCTCCAAGGGGACTCAGGCAGATCACAGTACACATACACAGCAAACACAAGAAAGGAGATTCCATCTGAACATGAGGAAGAACTTCCTGACTGTGAGAGCTGTTCAGCAGTGGAACTCTCTGCCCTGGAGTGTGGTAGAGGCTCCTTCTTTGGAAGCTTTTAAACAGAGGCTGGATTGGCCATCTGTCGAGGGTGCTTTGAATGCAATTTTCCTGCTTCTTGGCAGGGGGTTGGACTGGATGGCCCATGAGGTCTCTTCCAACTCTATGATTCTATGATTGTTATGGCATCAAATTGCTGCCAACTTGTAAGCTGCCTTTGGGCTGACGGGATAGAAATTATCATAAACAAACAAACAAACAAACAAACATTCAATGCCTTTTTTGGATACACAGGACAGAGACAGACAGAACAGAAAGGAAGTATGTTGTGTCGACATCAGTTTTTTTGGTGCCTTGAAGGTTGTGCTTAAATCCAGCCATAGGGAGTGCTATCGCTTCATGCTCTATGCAAAAAGCCATCACGACTTCCTCCTTCCTTTTGGTCACTGGGCATTTTTTGACCTTTAAAATACCTCCCCGCTTGTTTTTAGCAGTACCTAATTTCTCTAATTACAGCTCAAGCTGTTTTCAAACTGCTTAGGTAAATAGCAAGCTGGGCTGATAATTGGGTGCTCACACCGACCCGGGGCTTTGAATTGGCAATCTTTCGGTTGGTAGATCTTATCATTGCTGGTGATTTACCAGCTGTGCTAAAGCCAAAGAGGAGGAAAAGGAAGAAGAGGAAGGAGCCTCCGTTTGCCACAGGAATTACAGCTCCCAATGAACTGAATGGAGAAGCACAATTTGGAATAAGCAGAGAAGATGGGACAAGCCCCTGCAAGTGTCCATCATCCCATAAAGCAGGTCCTCAAACCTTTTAAACAGAGGGCCAGGTCACAGTCCCTCAAACTGTTGGAGGGCTGGATTATAATTTGAAAAAAAAACATGGATTCCTATGCACATATCTTATTTGTAGTGCAAAAAACACTTTAAAACAACACAATAATTAAAATGAAGAACAATTTAAACAAATATAAACTTATTCGCATTTCAGTGGGAAGTGTGGGCCTGCTTTTGGCTGAGATAGGGTTGTTGTTGTTGTGTGCTTTCAAGTAGTTTCAGACTTAGGTTGACCCTGAGCGAGGGCCGGGTAAATGTCCTTGGAGGGCTGCATCCGGCCCCCGGGCCTTAGTTTGAGGATCCCTGCCATAAAGAATGAAAATGCCCCATTTGCATTTGGGATTGGGAAAGGGGAAAAGGCAGACCACTGAACCAACCCTCCGAATGGGTCAAAACTACAGCAAAACATGGTGGTTTTCCTTCACCAAAGTCCTTGCTGTGCAATGAAGCAGGCTGGGTGGTCTTGGGTCTGAGGGGATAAAGCAGAGGCACAAGCTTCAGACCTCAATCTCATGGGACGTAAATATGAGGAAAACAAACATCATTGTAGCCCTACACCTGGAAGGTGACAGGATGTCAGGCTGAGAAAAAAAGAGAGAGAATAAAAGGGGGAGATCGCCCTTTCCAACTGGAAAAGGTCACCTCCGAAACAAACAAAGAAGTGGTGCGGGGAAAACTGAACCAACCCCAGGGAGGTTGCCCACCTTTGGAATCCCTGATTGGGAGTCCCAATCAACTGCCCGTTTGAAGGGAACTTTTTGATAACTATTTGTCTATGTAATTTTACGTCCGAGACTGACTGACTTACTTTCCTGTCTGTTTAACCCATCTGGTAAGACTTCCACTGTTCTTCCCCTGAACTGATCGGAGCGCCTCCACTGCACGGCGGTGGCACTAATTGCAAGAGGCCAAACAGCAAGAGAAAGCCCCGGGCCCTCCCTTTGTGGCCCCCAAACCAACACTGCCTTCTTCTCTCGCCCCTCTCAGGTCAGCCAGGTGCTTCAGGAGGATCCAGACCCAGCCTCTTTCTGGTCCAAGGGGGTGGGGGGACTGGCAGGAAGGGAAAGGGGCTTACTTGGGCTGAGCATGGTGCTGATATCCGGGACCCAGGTGTGAGCCAGCCTTCATCTCCACAGCAACAGAACACTGGCAAAGGGAGAAAAAGATGCATATTGAGAGCCCAACCATCAACAGTCCCCCGTCCCTCTGCTTCCTCCCTGCCCCACATCCCACCCCATCACTTTTCTGGGACTCACTCTTGTCTCCACATCAGTCCAGTCGGATTCTGTGGCCTCCTCTGGAGGGACCGGGCTCAAGGGAGACGAGCGCCTCTTGCGACTGACAGGGAAAGAGGAACAAGGAATTATTGTGTTAAGAGTTTACTTTGTTCTATGACTGAGCTCTTAACTCAACTCGCTCTTATCTCAAAGCAAATTTCCCCATTGAACTATAATGAAATACTCTTAATCCATTCCAGCCTCCTGAAAACCATTCCAATTTTTTTTGTTCCGTGTTTTTAAATAAGACAACCTACTTTATAAATAACAAATGTATAAATGCACATTCACACGGAATAAAATAAGAAAGATCAACTTTAAAATGGTAGAAGCACAAAGCACCAAATGAAGAGGCAGAAGCATTCATTCCTTCTTCATCCTGCCCTCATTCCAGCCTTCCCCCCTCTCTTGCTCCCTCTCCCTCTCTCTTTATTGAGCCAAACAGACCAGGGATAAAAACTACAGAAAATCAACGAACCCAAAGTTCCTTAAAGTGGAGAAGAGCAAAGCGGACAGCAATTTCCCAAAGCGAACAAGAGCACGAGGCTCAGCTACTACTCCCTTGAAGCCCCAAAGTCTCTGGCGCTAACACTCCCTCTGGTGCTTGCTCTTAACTCAAAATGCTGCTTGTATGTCAAAGCAAAACAAAGGCTGAGGAAAGGCTCTCAACTAAAAATGTTCTTAAGTTTAGATGCTCTTAAGTTGAGGTTCCACGGTAATTTAGAAAGCAAATTATTAACTTGGAAGCCTTCAAGTGGATCTGCACCTGGTGTGTCCTTTCCTTAAAATAGAGGGAAGCTGAACACATCCATCACAAGTTTTAATCACCCAACAGCTGAGAGGCCAAAGAGCATGAAGGGAGCTTGGGTCAAACTCACCCTGTGGGGGATTCTTGTTTTAGGGTCTCAATCTCAGTGAACTGGACGGCTTGTCCACCACCTCGGGTCTTGTAAACATCGCCCTGAAAGAGAGAAGTGGTTGAGCAGAATGGTTTCCCACCAGCGTTTCCACTGCACTGTTTGTAGAAATACACAGAGAAAGCCAGAAGAGAAAAGTCTCTTCCGTGTTATGTTGGCTGGTATTGCATTTCTAATCCAGAAGCAAAGAAACAGACCTCAATGTACAATACCAGGCAATATAATGGACATTCCACATCACTGAAACCACACTGTCATCAAACAGTCTCAGGGATCCAACCCAATATTTCATCACATAATAGTCATCACATAATTGTCTGACCCCCATTTTTGGGGTGACAAAATTGGTATTTTTGTGTTCCTCGCATAATAGTCACAGAGCCATTTATTTACTTATTACCACACTTTTATCCCGCCCTTTTCAGCCCGAAGGTGACTCAGGGCAGCATACAGACCGGCAACAATTAGATGCCAAACACACATAAATACATTGTTTAAAACAGGTTAAATCACATAATAAAATTCATATAAAAAGCAATTTAAAACTATAAAAATTAATGACTTCCGGGTTTAAATTTGGGGGATGATTCCCTTCTTTTGCCTTTCTCCAAAGCCAAGGCTGTTTAAAAACTATGCAGTTGAGGTCTCTGGAGCACCACTCTTTCTCCAAAGAGCTCCATTTCAGATTTTGTAAATTGCCTTGCCTTTGGAGAAAGGGAGGAGAATGTTCTCTCCTTCCTTGGAGGAAAGGGAGTTCAAAAACAAACAGAAATAGAGCCGTTTGTTTGAGGCTAGCTCATCCCTTCTCTATCTCCTCCTGCCTTGGAGATAAAGAGTTAATGTAGAATCAAAGGCAGATTTCTTTTCATCATGCAATAGTTGCACCTTCCTTTTTATCAACAAAAGATAAAAAGTGTGATTATTATGTGATGATCGCTGCTGCTTTGGCGGCGGATAAAGAGAACTGGAGGCTGTAGCCCCTCCCACTGGCTACTTATACTCACTGGGGAGAGTGGGCGGGGCTACCACCAAGAATGTTTAATAACTCTCTAGAACAGGGGTCCTCAAACTAAGGCCCGGGGGCCAGATATGGCCCTCCAAGGTCATTTACCCGGCCCTCGCTCAGGGTCAACCTAAGTCTGAAACGACTTGAAAGCACACAACAACAACAACAATGCTATCTCATCAGCCAAAAGCAGGCCCACACTTCCCATTGAAATACTAGCAAGTTTATATTTGTTAAAATAGTTCATCCTTTTAATTATTGCATTTTAAGTATTTTTGCACTACAAATAGGATATGTGCAGTGTGCATAGGAATTCATTCATTTTTTTTTTCAAATTATAATCCGGCCCTCCAACAGTTTGAGAGACTGTGACCTGGCCCTGTTTAAAAAGTTTGTGGACCGCTGCTCCAGAAGGTTCCAAAAGCTGTTCTGCGCAGGCATTACCATATGTGTGATTCACAGTTGACCACGATGGGAAAGTGTGTTTATTATGTGATGAAATACAGTATATGGGGCATTACAGTGCAACCAAAAACTACAGCTGTTTCAGACCCAGCAAAGGTCCACAATAATCCAGACAGAAGAGAAAACAAAGGTCTTAAGGCAGAGGCTCTGGGACTTCCTTGACAAGCTCCCTATTCCCAGTCGGGCTGATGTTCAACTGTCTCTATGTTTGTCCCTCCCTTGACCACAATTACCTTGATCAGCTTTGTGGCAATCTCCCCGTCCGAAGCCAGCTCCTGGTGGGTCAGCATGTACTTGTCGCACTTGGCCAGGGCCTTTTCATTGGCGGTAGCCACCGTAATGGCATGAGGCATGTGGGGCTTCATGACGGTATCCATCGGGACATGGGAAGGGGGTTTGTGGTCTACCCACCTCTCCCCGGCTGAGCGGGAGCGCCGGTGACGCATCCGGACTGGCGGGGCATTCTGATCGGGTCAGAAAGGAGGAGGAAGCATGAGCAGGGGCAATACCACCTCTCTTACCAACGCAGCCAGACAAAGAAGACAAGTATAAAGCAAGACAAAGAAGACAATGAAAGCTACATGACATAGATGTGGCATGCTGTAAATCATGAGAAGTGAGAGCTTCTAGAAACAGACCCACCACCATTTAGAAAGGCCAAGCGTTGTTTGTTTGCATATCTGACTTGTGCAGCTTCTGCATTCTCCACATCTCTGCAAATGGGAATACAAATGCCAGGCAAGGCACGCATCCACTACAGTTCCACAACTTTGTTAACTACAGTTTTTTGCCTAGGGAAGGGGTGGGCAACTGTGTATGACTAAGTGGCTTGAAGTCCACTTCTGATACTTCGAAATGGGGTATTTGTTGGGGTTAAATAACATAAGGAGAAGCTGGGAAATCTATTTAAAGGTTGCTATAATTGGCTTTAAAGAATAGCAATTCACCTGCTTTCTTGACCAATGGTTCATCTTAGGATTCTGACAATTTCAATGGCCAGAAAACCAGTAGTCTGGGACCAGACTACAAGTAGTCTGGGACCAGAGCCTGCCCTTCCCAAAACTGTGGAAAAGATCTGCCAGAAGAGCTCCAGCAGCTACATCAGCTGTCAGAATTTTAAAACCATATAAAGACCTATCTCTTCTCGCAGGCCTACACAGCCAGTTTCAAACATGATTTTCAAACTCGTGTCTTTGTGTTTAATCTGTTCAGTGTAGTTTAATATGTATTTTATTGAAATCCGTTTTAATATGCATAGAAATACATTTTAATGTGTGCATTTATGGAATTTTTACAATGTTTATGTGTTTTAATTATGCTGTAACCCAACTTGAGGCACGGGAAGTGAGTAAGAAATAAAATACAAATAAAAATAATAATGTGTTGTCCAAAGCTTTCATGGCTGGAATCACTGGGTTGCTATGAGTTTTCCGGACTCTCTGGCCATGTTCCAGAAGCATTCTCTCCCGACGTTGCGTCCATATCTATGGCAGGCATCCTCAGAGATTGTGAGGTCTGTTGGAAATAGGAAAATGGGGTTTATAGATCTGTGGAATGTCCAGGGTGGGAGAAAAAACTCTTGTCTGCTTGAGGCAGGTTTTGCAACATTCACACCTGTCTCAAGTAGACAAGAGTTCTTTCACCCACCTTGGATTTTCCAAGATATATAAACTCCACTTGTCCTGTTTCTAACAGACCTCACAACCTCTGAGGATGCCTGCCATAAATGTGGGTGAAACGTCAGGAGAGAATGCTTCTGGAACATGGCCGTACAGTCCGGAAAACTTACAGCAACCCAATAATAATAATAATAATAATAATAATAATAATAATAATATAACAATAACTACTACTACTACATTTGTCAGAGGTATATTGATTGTGCTTTTGCTGCATGGTAGGGGGTTGGACTAGATTGTCCATGTGGTCTCTGATTCTATGAAAATGATAATTCCCTCCTCAAAAAGAGGCCAACTTTGAGGACCAAACCTGGGCCCAGAGTTTGTCCACTCTTAGTTTAGAGCTCTCAAAAAACACTTCATGGCCTGAGTCTTAGAAGAGTCAGCCTCTCCATGAGGAGAGAAGGGCAGTATTGGTCTTCTGCACCAAGAATGTTCTCTGCACCAAGAATGTTCTCAGAGTCCCTCACCCTGGCTGGGCCCACAGAAAGTTGCAGCCTCTGCCCACCCTTGCAGAGAGGCCTCCCTTCCAATCCTAGCCAGGAGCACTAACCCTGCAGCAGAGGTCCTTGCCCGCCTCTGCAGCCCCTTGCCAGCTCTCGGGGTCTCCGCTCCAGCACATGCCCTGCCGCCGCCGGTCTGACACAAGTGAGGAGGGCCCCGCTTGCTCTGCCTCTTGCAGTCTAGTTCTGCCTCTGGCCATGCCGGGGTGCTTGCTGCCATGAGTGGGCGTCCTCTGCTCCCATTCTGAGATGCAGGAGGCCACCGAAATGCTGCTGCAAGAATTAGAGCGCCTGTGCAGCTGGGCCTGATCTGAAACAGGCAGCCACAGGGGGTAGTTGTTGCTGCTGGGGGGGAGCTGAAGGATGCACTGACTGGAAAGCTGAAAAGAGGTGCCATTAGTGACCGAAAGAAACAGAAGAACGCATACAGAAACCACACAGGAGACCAGTTAGTGGGGCCAACACAAGGGAATCCACCCTCTGCAAAATCGTCCTTCCAACCTCCAGGAGGAAAGAGGTGTTTGTGGGTGATGGAAGGAAGCAAAGCATGAACAGAAAGGCACACAAGACCTGCAATGACCCACCCACTCACAGACAAGTTACTTTTGCGGACTATGCATTTTCCACTCCCACTCCCTCAAAGCCACTTGCCTAAAGGGCCCAGTCTGTCAGACACAGTAAGACACACACGTAAGAGCCACAAGGACGCAAACTCAGAGGCAACCTACAGGGACTGGTGGGGGAGACAAGGATCTTGGCAGGGCCTTCTCTCTGTCCCTCTCCCGAGAAGGCCTCTCTGGTTTGAAGGCCTTGGGCTCCGTGACAATGGCTTTCAGCTGCTTGAGCTTCTCATTCTTGACCCAGAGCTTGTTCTGCATCTCAAGCTGCTTGGCTGCCACCCGCCGCTCCTGCAAGGGAGAGCACATGCTGGTGAGAGCGGCAAAAAACTCCGTCAAACAATCTCACCAAACTGCCCGATTCTCAGTACAGAAGAAGTGGTTTGCACCCTATTTTAGTAGACAACCAAATCAGCAGACATAGGAAAGGGCATTCAGATTGGATTGAGGCAGGTGAGAGAACCGCATTGTCAGAAATATTAAAAATTAACTGGATATTTTTAATTACAAAAATGTGAGTCAAGCACTCAGTGGGAGAAAGGCCTTAGTGTGAGGTAGGTGTCAGTGTGTTAGTAGGCCTCAGTATGAGAAGGTCTCAGTGTTAGTACACCTCAGTGTGAGGAAGCCCCAGGCTGAAGGTGTGAGAGGCTCCAGTGTGAAGGCTGCTGTGTGTAAAAAGCTACTGTGTGAAGTTCCTGTGTAACTTTGGTGTGAGAGGAGGCTCTGTGAGAGCGAAATCGTTTATATGCATGAGAAAGAAGCCCAGTGTGGAAGCAAAGAAGGAAGTGTAAAGAATTTTATTTGTATTATGGAAACCTTGTTCTTGTAAATGGTGCAACCATATTATTTTGCTACAAAGAAAAGCCTCCTAAGGAAGCGATAACATTGGTCTGTGTGTTTCTGTTCTTTTTATCACTTTTGGCTACTGGTGCTGGGTCACGCTGCTGTTAATAAGTTACTTTGCTGTACATTTCTGAGGAGGATCTTTTGTTAATAAGTCTACTCGCCCCATACGCATTATCCCGCCTGTGGCCCATTTACACAAACATGGAAGCACAGGGTCGCCACCATGTGCCCTTAGGCTACTTTGGCAAACCCCAGACTCTCATGCTTTATTAAACAGCACATAATATCTTATTCTCATTCTCTAAATCAGATAATCAGGCACATGAAAAAGAAGATTCAAAATAAGAACAAGAGCCCTCATTGTCTCTCTCTCCCTGGCAGAAGGCAGAACCAAGTCAGAAAAGGAAGCTCCTCTCCAGAAGGGGAGCCATGAAGAGCCACAACCCCAGCATCAACTCTCCCTCCCTTTATCACAAACTTGATTTCACTTACTCTGAAAATATTCGCCTATGGAAATATTTGTGAAACTCTCTAGATTTTCCAGTATTATTCTACGCGATGCTTTTAGCTCATGAGTAGTCAAAACACAGGATTTGGTTTTATGTGTAGTTTCAGATGAATCTTAGAGCACATCCCCAGCAGATACATGGGTCTTACTGTACCCAACTGTACCCCACAGGGAGCAAACCATTCTCACCCATCCCTATCACTGCCTGATGGCAGACCATAGGTGCTTGTTCCCTTTAAGAGCTCCAGCCTGGCCTCTGCACTTACACATTCCTTCTCCCACTTCATGGTGGTCTCCGTCACCATGCCTTGCAGCCGGGCCTCCATTCGTTGCTTGTCTGACAGCTGGCGCTGAAGTTTCTGGCTCTTGTTCTCCAGCTCCAGCTGCAAGTTGCGCTTCTCTTCCTCATAGATTGTGGTGGTTTTCTCCAAGATGTCAATCTGGGAAGGCAAATGGAAGTTCCAGATCCAAAACTTTCAAGCAGGGGAAGGAAAGCAAGGACCTAGTTGGCAACACACAAATACTGGCAGGCATGACAAACAGGTGTATATCAAGACAAATTTAACATTAAAGAATTTGCCCGCAGTATCAGCTACTTCATTTGCACAAGAAAGATCCATGCAGTCCCTGGCAGATACATTTAATGGCAAGCGGTCTTCACTAACCTTGTATTCAAGTGTTTTGGTTTTCTTCTCCAGGCGCTCGACTTCTGCTTTTTGCCCTGAGATGATCTTGTCCTTTTCAACAATTTTTAAGTGCGCGTAGTTCTCTCGAGCAACAATGTTGGCATCAAGTTCTTGCAACGTGCCCTTTATGGAAAGAACTGCAAGAGAGAATATGTGAGAATTCTTCACATCTGTCACCAAGAAGGCCAGGCCATGTCCTCCAGGTTTAGCCATGTTTGATGCGGAGGCCTCATTCGATAGATACAATATTCACACGGTTTCTAAACACAAGGATATGACTTGACACCTGAGAACATGTTCCTCACCATCTGTGTGAAGCAGCCAATGTTGCATTTCCTAAAGCAGTGGTTCTCTACCTTCTTAATGCCGCGACCCCTTAATACAGTTCCTCATGGTGTGATGACCGCCAACCATAAAATTATTTTTGTTGCTACTTCATAACTGTAATTTTGCTACTGATATGCATGATGTACTTTCATTCACTGGACCCAAATTTTGCATAAATACCCAATACGCCCAAATTTGAATACTGGTGGGATTGGTTTTCTCATTTGGGAGTTGTAGTTGCTGGGATTTATAGTTAACCTATAATCAAAGAGAATTCCAAACTCCACCAACAATGGAATTGAACCAAATTTGGCACACAGAACTCCCATGACCAACAGAAAATACTGCAAGGGTTTGGTGAGCATTGACCTTGAGTTTTGGAGTTGTAGGTCACCTACATCCAGAGAGCACTGTGGACTCAAACAATAATGGCTCTGAACCAAACTTGGCACAAATACTCAATACGCCCACATGTGAACACTGGTGGAGTTTGGGGGAAATAGACCTTGACATTTGGGAGTTGTAGTTGCTGGGATTTATATTCACCTACAATCAAAGAGCATTCTGAGCCCCACCAGCAATAGAATTGGTTCAAACTTTCCACACAGAGTTCCCGTGACCAACAAAAATACTTTTAGATGGTCTTTGGAGACCCCTCTGACACCCCCCCCCCCAGGGGTCCTGACCCCATGTTGAGAAATGCTGTCCTAAAGCAATGGCACTCAAAACAAGTCCAGTCTGTGTGCCCTTAGCTGGCTGTTTACAATTATAATAATATAATAAAATTTATTTATACCCCGCCACCATCTCCCCAAAGGGGACTTGGGGCAGCTTACATAAGACCAAGCCCAGTAATACATTACAACAAAATAAACACAGAACGACAAAAAATAACATCACAATAAAATGAGTAAAACATAAGAGCAAAATAAAACAGTGCAAAATAACAAAGTGAAAAATCAAACACAATGGTTTTCCGAAGGAGAACAAAATGAAACCATTGAAGGGTGGGAAGGAGGGAGCACAAATTGCCTGGGAAAAATCCTTGGCACATTGGGAAAAGGACCTGTCAGTTAAACAGGAACAGGCATTAAAGCACTGGTGGGTTTCCTATTGCTAAAGGGACAATATGGATAACAGCTATCTGCAGGAAGACAGCCTCCAAGATCTTACCATTTTTGGCAAATTCTTCCTTTATTGCCTGCCGGGCTTGATGGCGCTTTTCCAGTGCTTCGATCAGCCGAGGAAGAGTCTGGTCATCGTTGATGTCAAGAAGTTCGCAGGACGGCAATGGGGGAAAGTTCTGCAGGAGTGCCTCCATGGCGGACTTTCCACTATCTGCAGTAAGGAGGTCATACACAAGCCAAAGAGTCTAGAGCTAGTCTAGAGCAGAGCCAAGATGTGGGTGACTCCAAATGGAGCCCTCTTAGCTCTGTTGGGTTACAAAATACTTTCCCCCCACCCTTCTTGCCTCCAGAGTAGGTGAAGTAGTAGTCGCTGGTTCTATGAAAGTAACTTGAGCTGTTAAGGGAAGAGAAATGGACCCTCATCTTCAAGACTGTTCGGATCAGTGGTTCAAAACCTGCAGGTCACCAGGTGTTTTGGCCTACAACTCCCAGAAATCCCAGCCAGTTTACCAGCTGTTAGGATTTTTGGGAGTTGAAGGCTAAAACATCTGGGGACCCACAGGTTGAGAACGTTTAGATCCTATGGCTGCCTCCTCCTGCAGAATTCAACGATATGTAGTTTGGGGAGGTCCAGTTTAAAGGTCCCTATCTAAACGACTGTTGCACTCCAGGCCAGGAAACACCTCTGTACTTAACCACCACACTCCAGTCCAAATTAAATCAACAAAGCAGAGTATGAAAGATTATACAAAAAGGACTGTAGCAAAAATAGTAACAACTTCAAAGTCTCTATATATATAATAGTCCAAAAAGTTCAAGGTACAAGTCTTCCAAAATTCCAAAGCAACAGGATATCCAGCACAGGGATACAGGAAAACCAGGAAGTACAAGGCAACATAGACTCTAAAACAAAAATCCAGGAACCATCCTTCAAACTTGGATACATGAAACAGGAGCAAAAACATGGAGCTAGAATTCCCTCAGAAAGCTTGACTAGGATTTGGCAAGAGCTGTTGCCTCAATTACAAAAGTTGACCAGATTGGCTGGAAAATCCCCCTGGCCTCTCTAATATACACACGAAATCATGCCTTCTCCCATGACTTCCTGATACGCGTCTCTTCTCTTACAAGCGCTCTGACCGTCAGAGATTCTGTTGAGCAGCACAAAATTTACGAAAACGGAGTTTCCTATCAACCAGCTCATTTTCTTGCAATTTGTTATTCTCTCCACCTGGGATTTCAGCATCTGAACTCATTTCCCTAGAGAATGACTCTTCTGCACCATCTCGGCACTTCTCTGGAATGTGACCTTCACTAACTGCTGGAGAAACAGACTGATCATTTCCAGGACTTAAAATCTCATGTTGGCTCACAGGCACTGAGTTCCCATTATCCTCTTCCCCATTTACTTCGCTATCAGCCACAACCATCCACTGAACTGCAACAACTACAACCTCAGGATTCTGCAGGAGACAGCCATAGGATTTAACCAGGCATGAGCAAACTTCAGCCCTCCAGGACTTCAACTCCCACAATTCCTAACAGCCTACTGGCCATCCACAGCATAAATATCTATATTTATATATAAAATCTTGACTTTGCAATTTTATAATAAGGGAAATCATTTCACTACATTCCTCTGTATAGCATGAAATTTGAGCCTCCATGAGTTTCGGTATCCACGGCGAGTCCTGGAACCAAATCCCAACAGGTGCTGTGAGTCGCTATATTTTACTTAAGAGATTTGGTTTCGATGTCCATAGGAGTCAGGCATGCCCTAATTGTTATTGTCATGGTAAGTTGGTCCTCCATACTCACAGATTTAACAATTCGGTATCAAAAAAAAGTTTGATCTGTTTTATACTCAGGAAGCCCCCAAGCTATGAACAAGAGAGGAGCTGTAGGTTTGTTCTTAAGTTGAATTTGTATGCAAGTTGAAATAGGTCCATTTTTAAAGTGCAACTCCAGCCAAATTTATTTTTCACTTTGGCTAACATAGGGAACGATTAACACACCGGTGGTGTTTCCTTTGTATAGTCTGCGCCCCTGTTGAGAAGATTCCACCTCACTTTCTGTCCCCGAGATAATTTGAGTTGTTGTGGAAACAAGTGTTGGTACTAAAGCTTCACTGGAGACCCCTTTCCCCCATGATATCAACTCTTCCAGGAGTGACCTTCCCAAGGGGGGGATTCCTCTGATCTCAGGCCCGTTCTGAAACTTGGAGACTGTCTATACCTATATACCCAGGACCACATAAACATTTTTGGGCAAAAAGGGGTTGCAGGTTGAAGAAGTAGAAGAAGCCCTGATCTAAAGACTTACCCCCATTGATTGGTCCTCCTCGGAGCTGCAGCTGCCGGGAGAGGTCTTCCTGAAAGGCCTGGTTCTTAAAGCGCCGGCCGGCCATCAGCCCACAGAGAGGCTTGTCGGCAGGCCTGGCCACCTCCACTTCCTGAGTGAGCTCTGCAAATCGCATGACTTGCTAGAAGAATTTAAAAAGGTATTCATGAGTGCGTGGTAAATTCAGTATTTACAACATGGATTTAAAAAGTGACTGGTGAATTGACCAAAGACTTGTAGAAATCCACTCAACGTCAATGGACTTGAAACCTCGCACTGGCCAACAAAATCATAACAGTAAATAAAGACAGGGGAGCTCCGGACAAGAAACAATCAGGGACAGCTAATCACCTCTCAACAAAGGATTCCCCCAGGCAGCAAGAAGTCACACCTTGATAACTGCTAGATCATTAAATGCTAATCAAGGTGGCTAACTGAAACATTCACACCTACCTCCAACAGACAAGAGTTCTTTCTCCCACCCTGGACATTCCACAGATATATAAACCCCATTTTTCTAGTTTCCAAGAGACCTCTTAACCTCTGAGGATGCCTGCCATAGATGCAGGCAAAGCATCAGGAGAGAATGCTTCTGGAACATGGCCATACAGCCCGAAAAACTTACATCAATTCTGTATCTTTATCATGAAAGATACAGTGCGGTGTAATGGTTTGAGCATTGGACTAGGACTCTGGAGCCCAGTGTTAAGATCCTTACTCAAGACAAGTCACTCTCAACCTCAGAGGAAAGAAATTAAACCCCTCCACAACAAATTTGACCAAGAAAGTCCCACGATAGCTTTGTCTTAAGGTCTTCGTAAGTTAAAAATGTCTTTCGTTGAACTAAAAAAATTAACTTTATTTATTTTATTTACTACATTTATATCCTGCCCTTCTCACCCCCAGAGCGGCGTTACAAAAAGGCAGAGATTTGATGTCATGCACATACGTACATACAGTAAAAAATAGACATATACATTAAGAACAAAAATCAACAGCAATATTATAACAATTATTAAAATTATGTCATCCAGAGTCAAATCCAAGGCCATTCCATCAGTCACTTCACAATCCCATATACTCTTATTGCACTAACTATACATTTTGTGCAAGAGGTTTAAACACATTGGAAGTGATCTAACAAATGTAAAGTTGAACCAAAATCAAAGCAGCACCCTCCCAGACAGTTTTTATACATTTCAATAATGGAAAATTAAGAGCTTGGCTTACTAGGCTCTCATCATAGTCTTCAGCCTTTGGGTTGACGCAGACAACCATGCGCACTTTCCCTTCCCCGTCGAAATAGTTTTTGAAAAGATGTGTCAACTTTGAGTCTCGATAAGGGACCATCTAAAAGAAAAGTTGAAAATGAGTTCCCAAGTTCTCAGGGCTAAAACGACACAGGCAAAAAGGATCCACGAAAAACAAGCAGCCACAAACCTTATTGGTGCCATATGTTTGGTTTTCCCGCAAGACTTCCATGCAGGTTCTGAGCGTCATCAGAGACTGATTGATGTTACCTGAAAAAACAGAGACCATTAGTCTTGTTCTTTCCCAAAAAGTAAAGGCCTGAGCACACTGGAATCTTTTACCAGTTTGCGCTTCCGATTCTCTGCTGGTGCTCCTAGCTTCCCACACCAGATTCGGAATGTGCTCCAAATGCTTGCGCTCTAGTTTAACTACCATTAAGGAAGATAAATGGGATATTCTACACAGGGTCATAACCATCTCCCTACAGATGAGTCCCCAGAATCTGAAAAAAGAAAATCCGTTCCTGGGTTGAAAGTGTTATTTTCTGTTTAATTATTTTGAAAGTAGTTGTTCTACTCCAGAAACTTTGTTTTTGTAGCTGCCACCAACTCGGTTGAATTGATTGACACTCAGCAAGATATTCATTGAAAAACTGTTGGAGATAGCAACCTTCTCAAGTCTCCTCTATATTTAATGTTTTGTCTTTTTATAAAGTGTCATTTATTTCCTGAAGTGTATGTCTTCTTTGATTTGCGGATTTCTTAGCTCTATGAACTTAAGGCAGTGGGAGGGGCTGCAGACCATGTGACTGGTTCAGTGACTGTTTAGAATGCAGTTTAAAAGGATGACAGGTGAGCCTTGAGTCTGTTTGAGTTTGTTGTTGTTCATTCGTTCAGTCGCTTTCAACTCTTCGTGACCTCATGGACCAGCCCATGCCAGAGCTCCCTGTCAGCCGTCACCACCCCCAGCTCCTTCAAGGTCAAGCCAGTCACTTCTGTTTGAGTACAGAAGCCAATATAGGAAGTTAGAAGACAATTGAGCCTTGAGTCCCTTGGAAGTAGATTATAATGAAAGAGAGCTGTACACAGCAATATAGTTTTGAAAAGACTGTTGAAGACTATAAGTTAAAGACACAAACTGAAATATTTTAAAGTTTAACCTGACAACAAATGTATTTGTATATTTAAATACATGAAGTTGTGAGTAAAACAAACATGATATTTTAAAGAAGTCTAATTGAATGTTTGTCTGCCAAGACCACGGAATAGAAACAAGATATTTACATGCCCAGTGATCTTCCATTGCCCGATAAACTAAAGGAACACCTCTGAAACTCTGCTGCCCAATAGGTTATGATCCTAACAGGTCATAATCCCAAACAGGTTGTGATCCTAACAGGTCATAATCCCCAACAGGTTGTGATCCTAACAGGTCATAATCCCCAATAGGTTGTGATCCCAACAGGTTGTAATCCAATAGTCCAATAAAAACTAGAGCAAAATGTGCTGCAGAATGTCTCTTCCTCAAAAATAATGTTTTGCAGTTTAATCAACATTTCCCATGCTACAACCAATTGGGAAATGACATGTATTTCTTACCTGTCTCCTCAAGGCAGGACACATCCCGATTAAAAACCACATCATAACAAACATTATCTATATAAATAAAAATGTAATGTTCATTTGGGGGATTACCATAACTCAAAAACCACTGGACGAATTGACACCAAATTTGGACACTAGACACCTACTAACCCAAGGGGTGACCATCAATCAAAACATTAATTTTGTCATTTGGGAGTTGTAGTTGCTGGGACTTATAGTTCACCTACAATCAGAGCATTCTGAATTCCACCAATGCTGGAATTAAACCAAACATGGCACACAGGATTCCCATGGCCAACATGGGTATTGATGGGCATTGACCTTGAGTTTGGGAGTTGTAGTTCACCTACATCCAGAGAGCACTGTGGACTCAAACAATGATGGATCTGGACCACACTTGCCACGAATATTCCATATGCCCAAATATGCAGACAAATTGAGTTTGAGGAAAATAGACCTTGACATTAGGGAGTTGTAGTCACTGGGATTCACAGTTCACCTACAATCACAGAGTATTCTGAACCCCACCAACGACAGAATTGAGGCAAACTTCCCACACAGAACCCCCATGACCAACAGAAAATACTTAAGGCCATCCAGTCCAACTCCCTTCACCAGGGCAAGGAAATGTAATCAAAGCCCTCCTGACAAAGAGCCATCCAGCCATAGATAGAGATGGATATATATGATTCACACACACAGATATAGTATCCTGGATTTGAAGGGGGGCCCTAAAGAACGACAATGATATGTTGCATGTTCCAGAGTAGGCAAACCAGACAATCTCTACATCAACACTGACAAAGAAACAGCAAGAAATACTGCTTATCCACAAGCAGAAAGAAATTACATATATTAGAAACCAACACTTTCACATTATTTTCCAGATCACCAGACTGGGCCACAGCAACGCGTGGCAGGGGATGGCTAGTGTAAAATAAATATATGAAAGGATTATGACCTGTTAGGAAATATATGAAGAGCTCCTTGCCCCACCCCACCATTCCACAGATATATAAACCCATTGTCCTAATTCCAACAGACCTCTACCTCTGAGGATGCTTGCCATAGATGCAGGCGAAACGTCAGGAGAAATTCCTCTAGAACATGGCTCTATAGCCCGAAAAAACCCACAAGAACCTAATATATGAAAACTTATTTTTACAAAATACATATATATTAAAATACAGAGAATAAAATATAGTAAACACAGGACGAGAGTTTAAAATGCACGGTTAAAACAGACTAGGTGGGTTTGCTGGAAAAGATAGGTCTTCAGATGTGTTTTAAATTCCAACAGCTAATTTAGTGGTCGGATCTCTTCTGGCAGGTAATTGCAGTGATGACTGCCAAAGAAATCAGTAGAATGGGGAGTATGCTCTCATTAGCTCTTTGAAAACAGAATGCTTTGATAAGGAAAATTACTGCTCTCTCCAGCAGAGAAAGGTGAGCATTAGGGTGAGGCAAAAACAACCCTTGGTGAACAATGTTTTCTTTGCAATGCCCTCCTGCAAACATATGCAAGAATGACTTCTTTTACTGCTAGGAGAAGATATACAAAGATGTCTAAGTGAGATCTCAAGGGGCAAAATGGAAATGTGTGCCTGTTTTGGACCAGTTGGGTAAGGACTTAGATACGGCAGCAAAGAAACAGGAGCAGCACCTACCAGCCTCCCGCAGTCTGTTTCCTTCGGCTTTCGTTCTGTTTGTTCGCTCGCTTCCTGCCAGGTCGACCAAAGATAACTGGCTCAGGGTGATCAGTTCTCTGTCCTGGAAACAACAAGGAGCCATTGCTTCAAATAAGAAAGCAACACCATAACCACCAAGAGTAAGCCTCAGTGTGAGTAGGCCTGGTGTGAGAAGCTTCAGTGAGAGGAAGCCCCAGGTTGAAGACTTGTTTACAAGGAATAAGCACACACCACCAAGGGCCCTGCTTTTGCAGCCTGTCTCTAGTTTCACCTGCAGAACATTGTCACCATCCGCATCCAAAGGCGCCTGGGTCAATTTGATCAGGAAGACGCTGTGTGAACGGCTTGACTCTCGATTCAGCTGCGTGTTCGCAATGCGCCTCTTCTTTTGACCTGTGAACAAAAGAAACACTTAACACTCAGTTTGATGCAGCTACATACAGTGGTACCTTGAGTTAGGAGTTTGATTTGTTCCATGACCGACTCTGTTACGGTTTCTGTGAAACTGGCAGTAAGTTTTGTGTGGGATCATTACTTTACCTGAACCAGGTGTGTTAAGAGATAAAAGTACTCATTCCTGTGGTTACTATATGCTGGCTTCATTAATGTGCTCTTTAAGGCCAGTAAGTCTGGGCCATTCCTGGTGTGGTATAACTGGGTGTCTTATGGGATACAACACGCATGGGCAAACTTCAGCCCTCCAGGTGTTTTGGACTTTAGCTCCTAGAAATCTCAGACAGCTTACTGATTGTTAGGAATTGTGGGAGTTGAAGTCCAAAACTCCTGGAGGGCTGATGCATCCAGGGAGATGCCTGGCTCTCCCTCGCTCACTCTCTGGGGATGGAAGTTGGAGAAACCATACCATCTCTGTTGGTATGATTGCAACAAAAACTACTGTATATACTAGAGTATAAGCCGACCCGAATATAAGCCAAGGCACCTAATTTTACCACAATAAACTGGGAAAACATATTGACTCAAGTATAAGCTGGGGGTGGGAAATGCAAATAAAATAAAAATAGATACCAATAAAATTACATTAATAGATGCAGCTGTAGGTTAATTGTTTTTGAATATTTACATATAAGTAATTTAAGATAAGATTCTCTAACTCTGATGAAACCATTATTCTAACCTTCTTCAATGTAAATGTGCTTACGTATCCTTCCAATAATTATAAAGAGAGTAAAATAATAAATGTAATAAAAATAATAACAGAGTAAAATAATGTAAATATAATAATTAGAGTAAAAGCGTAAAATAATAAAAATAATAGAGTAAAATAATAAATGTAATACTTGTAATACTAATGAACAGAGTAAAATAATGTAAATGTAATAGTAACAGTAACAGAAGAATAAAATAAATGCAATAATAATAGAGTAAAATAATAAATGTAATAAAAATAACAGAATAAATTAATAAATAACTTTGACTCGAGTATAAGCCGAAAAGGGCTTTTAAAGCCTAACTTTCCCTGCCAAAGATCGTTGTTCAATCAAGAACTTCCTTCTTGATTGAATCTCCAGCATTTTCCTGACATTTCCTTATGAGTGCCTTAAATACCTCCCTGCTTTAAAGCTGTACCTATTTATCTACTCACATTTGCTTTCAATCTGCTAAGTAGGCAGAAGCTGGGCTAAAGGTCAGGAGCTCATACTGACTTGGGCTTCAAACTGTCTGCCTTCTGGCAAGACTTATTGCAGCTGGCAGTTAACCAGCTGTGCTAAAGCCCGGCCCTCCTTCATCCTGTCCTAACCTCAGCCTCCTTCCTTCCCTCTCTTAGAGCCGCCGCAAACTAGGCTCCTGCGGGAGCAAACCTTGCCAGCACATCCTTGACGTCATGAGGCTGCGCCTCTCACCCCGCCCCTTTCTCAGCCTCTTTCTCCGTGCCAGAGTGGTTTTTCCTTTGCTAGGGCAGCATTGCCAGCATATTCTCTCAGTTGAATTCTGCCAACTGAGAGAGTACGCTGGCAATGCTGCCCTAGCAAAGGAAAAACCACTCTGGCACGGAGAAAGGGACTGAGAAAGGGGCGGGGCGAGAGGCGGAGTCTCATGACGTCAGGGACGTGCTGGCAAGGTTTGCTCCCGCAGGAGCCTAGTTTGCGGCGGCTCTTACTCTCTCTTCATGAAGCCAAACAGACCAGGAATAAAAACCACACAAAATCAACTAATCCAAAATTCTGCAAAGCGGATAGCAACCTCCCAAAGCAGACAAAAGCATAAGGCTGCTCCCTTGAAACCCAAAGCCCTACACTCCCACGCTAGCATTGAATTAACAAAGCAAAACCTTAGTTGAGTGATGGCTCTCAATTAAAAACAGCCTTCAGTTGGGACACTCTTAAGTTGAGGTTTCAATGTATTGGGAAGTATGGCAGTGACTCACAAAACACAGGGAATATAGAATTCCCTACCTCTCCAGAAGACCTCAAAGGCTTCCTCGGTAGACTTGACTTCCACCTCTGTGCATCCTGCCACGTACATGTTGTGGTTCTGATCTTCCCGGAGAATTCTGGATTGTGGAACCCTGTATTGGGGGTGGAAGAAGCCGTGACATTAAGCCTCATGCCAGCAACACACTTAATTGCGAGTGACGAAAAGCCAAACTAGCCAGGCACACTCTACGGTCAGCTAGATGGACAAGCGGCCAGCCAGGATTAGTTTATCCAAGCAAACAAGAGCAGCCTCAAGCTGTCACACCAGGAGGCAAACTTTTACTCTGGCACATGCAAACTACCAACAGCAGACTTAGTGTGAAAAGGGGCAGAAGGAAAACTCCACAACAACAGTAGACGAAATCAGTTATCTTGACTACTACAGAAATAAAAGGAGTCTGTGCACATACAAAAATTCAACGTTGCGTCCTGGAGTGCCACAGGTGTTCCACCTAGCAAAGAAATGCAATTCAAGTGTTACATGCACACACACTCACCACTTTTCAAATTGTTTAACATAAAGTTGAAATAGCATTAATTAAATTTTGGGAGCCAACTGGCAAAGGCTAGTTAAACCCAGGCCTGCACCACTTGTCAATAGTAAGGGGCACAGAATAAAATAGGCCAAGTCTCTTTGGATTGCAGACAGGTTTTTAGCACCCCACTTTCCAGGAAAAGCTATACTTAGTGAATAACCTATTGTACAAATGAGCCAAAGTATAAAAAGCAGAAGTTCCAATTGATACTTGGAGCCTCCTGGTGGCACAATGGGTTAAACCCTTGTGCCGGCAGCACTGCTGACCAAAAGGTCGGCGGTTCAAATCCAGGGGGCAGGGTGAGCTCCCGGCTGTCAGCTCCAGCTTCTCATGTGGGGACATGAGAGAAGCCTCACACAGGATGGTAAAACATCCAGGCGTCCACTGGGCAACATCCTTACAGACAGCCAATTCTCTCACACCAGAAGTGACTTGCAGTTTCTCAAGTCGCTCCTGACATTATATATATATTTAAAAAATAATACTCAATTAATTACATTGACTATGCAAGATTTTTATTTATTATGAAATCACATTAATGGAAAAATTACTTTGCAAATTAACTAAACAGTAAGAAAACCTGAAAAATGATTTCAAGCTTCTACTGTTTAGCAATCGTAAAATTACTAACAATGAGCACTTTTAATAAGAAGCATTAGAAAATCCATAACCAGACAACACTGGGCACACAAGCTAGTTACTGACAAATGGTTGTCTTGGGTGAGACACACTCTCTGGCTCAGAGAAAGGTGCAGACAAACTTTCCTTCCATCAGTACTACTGCCTGACAATGGTTGGGCTTTTCATTGCCTGCCTTCTGCAAGCTGCAGGGAAGCCCTTTGCAGGCCACATCCGGCCCCTGAACCATATGTGCTCTTTTTAAAAATATCAATAATATTAAAATTTGTTTTTACATTTGTACATTTGAAATCGTATTCAAATGCTTTCAATGTAAGCTGCTTTGAGTCTCCTTGTGAAGAGAAAAAGTGGGGTATAAATAAACATAATATTGTGCAGGTTTGGTCTAACCAAATAAGGTTTTTGGCTCCAGCAGCAGCCAGCATTGGGCTCAAAGGTAAGTTGTCTTAAGTTATATCTTTGCACAACTTCAGTAAAATAGATTCCCAGAACTTCTAACAAGAATAGTTCATGTGTAATGCTATTTGGCTGGTCAGAACAGGTTTTAACAACACACCTGTTAAAAAAATTACTGTATATGCTTGAGTATAAGCCAACCCGAATATAAGCTGAGGCACTGAACTTTACCACAAAAAAATGGGAAAATGTATTGACTCGAGTATAAGCCGAGGGTGGGAAATTCAGCAGCTACTGGTAAATTTCAAAATAAATATCGATAGCAACAAAATTATATTAATTGAGGCATCTGTAGGTTAAATAATTTTGAATATTTACATAAAACCATAATTTAAGATAAGACTGTCCAACTCTGATTAAAACATTATTCTAACCTTCTTCAATGTAAATGTGCTTATGTATCCTTCCAAAAATAATAGGGAGTAAAATAATAAATGTAATAATAATAGAGGGAAATAATAAATGTAATAATAACAATTGAGAAAAATAATAAAAGTAATAATAATAAATGGAGTAAAATAAGAAATAACTTTGACTTGAGTAGAAGCTTGGCTTATACTATATGGTAATATTCCCTCCACTTTATTTTTGCTTTGTTGTGGCATTATTTCTGGACATGAAGTCTCAAAACAAACAGTACTGGTTGGCCTCATAAGAACCAAGCCCAAGATCTGGGACCTAAAGCACAAAACAATAAACCCAAGCTCCTCTGTCCCTTGCGCTTGATGGCAGTGTAACTGGGCAATTGGAAGTCCCTTACTCACTTTGGCTTGGTGGGGTCGATGGGGGTTTCATCCAAGAGGTCATAAATGTAGTTATTATAGATCTCGATGTAGGAGACAAAGATGCTGTAGACGTTGTCTTCGTCGATTTCTCTTGCTTTGCAGTTATCTTGCACATTAATCATGTCAGCAATTTCGGGGTCTATTTGCCGCCTGCTGAAAAAAACGCAGCAAGGTAACAAGCAAAGATGGTTCAATATGGCTTACTGGCTGAAGTTCTGAAGGAAGGGACCATTCCCAGCCCCTTACTTGCTCGATGGAGTTTTGGGGGTCTGGAGCACGTCTCTCTTCTGCCGCTCCAGCAAGGCATCCACATTGCACTGGATATCGACCCCGTTCTTGTCGTCAAGCTTGAAAACCTGCAGAGAGGGGTTTTGGACGGTAAGGAGAACCTCATCAATATTACTGCTGTTGAGCAATTTCAAAAAGAAAAAAGCATTTAAAAAGGTAGAAATTTTAGCAGATATGAAGATTCTTGAGCCAGCAATGGAGCGACTAAGCTTCAGAAATTACAGGAACAGAATAAAGCTTTAAAAGTTACAAATACTGAGAAACGATTTCTATATAGGAAAGTTGTTGTTGTTCATTCGTTCAGTCATTTCCGATTCTTCGTGAAATCATGGACCAGCCCACGCCAGAGCTCCCTGTCGGACGTCACCACCCCCAGCTCCTTCAAGGTCAATCCAGTCCCTTCAAGGATGCCATCCATCCATCTTGCCCTTGGTTGGCCCCTCTTCCTTTTTCCTTCCTTTTTCCCCAGCATTATTGTCTTCTCTAAGCTTTCCTGTCTTCTCATGATGTGAACAAAGGACTTCATCTTGGCCTCTACTATTATTTCCTCCAATGAGCAGTCAGGCTTTATTTTCTGGAGTGTGGACTGGTTGGATCTTCTTGCGGTCGAAGGCACTCTCAGAACTTTCCTCCAGCACCACAGTTCAAAAGCATCTATCTTCCTTCGCTCAGCCTTCCCTATGGTCCAGCTCTCACATCCATAGGTGACTACGGGGAACACCATTGCTTTGACTATGTGGATCTTCGTTGCCAATGTGATGTTTCTACTCCTCACTATTTTATCAAGATTGGTCATTGCTCTCCTCCCGAGAAGTAAGCGTCTCCTGATTTCCTGGCTGCAGTCTGCGTCTGCAGTCATCTTTGCACCTAGAAATACAAAGTCTGTCACTGCCTCCACATTTTCTCCCTCTATTTCCCAGTTGTCAATCATTCTTGTTGCCATAATCTTGGTTTTTTATGTTTAATTGCAAACCAGCTTTTGCGCTTTCTTCTTTCACCTTGGTGAGAAGGCTCCTCTGCTCCTCCTCACTTTTGGCCATCAAAGTGGTGTCATCTACATATCTAAGGTTGTTAATGTTTCTTCCAGCAAATTTCACCCCAGCCTTGCATTCCTCAAGCCCCGCACATCGCATGATGTGTTCTGTATACAACCCTGCCGTACGCCTTTCCCAATCTTGAACCAGTCTGTTGTTCCATGGTCAGTTCTGACTGTTGCTACTTGGTCCTTGTACAGATTCCTCAGGAGAGAGACAAAGTGATTTGGTATGATTTGGTGGCGATCCTTTGCTGGAGACAGGAAAGTTAGGGCCTAGCTATCTAACTGTCTAGCTCTCTGGAGACACCTTGTCTCTCTCCATGCTAATAGGAGAAAAACAAAATGAAGATTTGGGGGCTAGAAACTTTTAATAAAAAGTTGTCCCTGAGAAGAAACAGTCTAATAATAGAATCATAGAGTTGGAAGACACCTTGTGGGCCATCCAGTCCAACCCCATTCTGCCAAGAAGCAGTAAAATTACCTTCAAAGCACCCCTGACAGATGACCAACATCTGCCTAACAAACAGAAATAGCATGAGAAAGAAAGAACGGCAGACAAAGAGGGAAATACAGGAAGAGTACTTCCCTGCCAAAGAACTCAGTTGCCTATCTATTTCCTCAATGAGGACTATAAACTTGTGCAGGATGTGGTTGAGTCCCAACAACTGCTAGCATCTATGCCAAGGCAGGAGGCAACTTACATATCGTTTGGCCTGGAAAGGCCCGATGCTGTTGAAGATCATGTCTAAGCAGCGTGGAAGCAGCCCGCCTTCCCCGGGGGAGCCTGTCATGGTGTGGGTCTTCCCGCTCCCTGTGACGCCATAGGTGAAAAGCAGGCCTGGGATTGAAAGACACAGAGCCACAATCAACACTTTACAGCAGTGGTTCCCAATTTTTTTTTGACCAGGGACCACTCTCCAATATTAGTACCAAAAGGGTTGTTTTTGGTCAACTTTAGATTTGGTTTGGTTATTTGGGGCGTGATTCAGAAAATTGCATTGGATAGACCACATCAGCTCTAGTTTCTGATACAGAACATATGCCATCCAATAGTCACTATCTGCTTGCCCACAGAAAACCATATTTAATAAGCCTCGGCACTTTTATTTATTTATTTACTATATTTGTATACCGCCCCTTTCAACTTGGAGGCAACACGAGGCGGTTTACAGTCGGCAGTCAAATGCCCCCAAACAACATAAAATACAGTTTAAAACATTACATATAATACATATAAACCATATAAAAACAATATAAGCGTGTTTCGCAAGACCAGTCACTCTCATTGCAACGGTATAGTAACGGAGAGACCATGGACCATATTTTAGTTCTTGTGGACCACTGGTGGTACATGGACCACAGGTTGGAACCACTGTTTTACAGCATTAGAGGATTTTCTAATGCCGAGACTGATATTTCCTGGTCTTGATTTAGGCTGCAGCTCATGCACCAAAGTTGGTAAACCTAAAAACCTGGACAAATTTGGTGTTTCATGTACATGTATATTCATTTTGAAGAATTGTGTGGCATTTTCAGCCGTGAATACAAAACTACTGCTGGTCATTAAACTAGACTTCCTGCCAGTGCTGAGCACACAAAATATCTAAATGCAGTATTCGTATTCCACATTCTTATCAAGATTAAGCCACAAATGTTCTGGGAGCCTGAAGAGAGACCTTTGTTTTTAAAACCTTGAAATATCTGCAACAGAAGCAACATACCGTTTTTCCCATGGATAAGATCTTCCACCAAAGGCCGAGCAACCACATCAAACACCTTTTTCTGAACAGAGGTGGTGCCAAACACTTCTTTAAAAGAATACTGGACCTGGAGAAATCAGAAAACTGCTATGAAGTGAGAGACAAGAGGCTATTTTGCAGCTGTTCTTAAATTGCAGATTACCTCCTTCTTCCAATTGAGGAAGTCATAGGCAGTCTTTCACTTTTGCATAAGGGAGCTAGCTGCAAAAGCGGCAATGTCTCCATATCAATCTAAAATCGAGATTAGTCACTTGTTCCATTAATTCTCTCACATTAATGGACTTTTTATCTCGTTTGGGGTGTCTTCTACCACTGCCTCAGCTAACAAAACTACTAAGTCAAACCATTTACAAAACATGCATACAAAAGCAAAACTAATGAAGAAGCGTAAACACTAATCTACTAATATAATCTACAGACCTCTCGTTCTGATGCTTTTTTAGTTCTGACTAGACTAAAAGGCCCCCCTGGTGGTGCAGCAGGTTAAACTGCTAAGCTGCTAAACTTGCTGACCAAAAGGTTTGAATCCAGGGTGAGTGAGCTCCCACTGTTAGCACCAGCTTCTGCCAACTAGCAGTTCAAAAACATGTGAGTAGATCAATAGCTTCTGTGGGAAGGTAACGGCGCTTCATGCAGCCATGCTGACCACATGACCTTGGAGGTGTCTATGGACAACACCGGCTCTTCAGCTTAGAAATGGAGATGCACATCACCCCCGAGTCGGACACGACTTCTGTACACTTAATGTCAGGGGAAACCTTTACCTTTACTAGTCTCTCTTTAAGAATTATTATATGACACTTATACCTTTAATGACATTGATAACTCATAAATCCCACAATTAGTCAACTCCCCAGACTCATATCAATAAATCTCCCCCACCCCTCTCTAAGGCAGACAAATACTTCTCCTCCATCAGCCTGATCAATTTGTCGATCTTAATCATTTCACAAATCCTCGTTAGCCATTGTCATAGACTTCAGACATTTCTTTCCCATTCCGTTGTATCTTCAGAAACAGTACATACAATAAACTTGAGCTTCTTTGAAAGTCTCACTCATGCCCACCACAATCTGCCTCAAACAGCAATCCATCACCTAGTTTTCCCCAAAGAAAATAAGTCCCAAGAAAACGCAAAGCAGACCCAAAACATGAACTCAGTCACATAAACTGTGTAACTGTGCAGCAACCATTACCTCTTTGTACTCCCCATTGCGAGCAATGCGGTACCCTTCGGGAGGGTGAACCTGGACTGTTGTGCTGCTGATAATCTCTATGCAGCACTCTTGGTCCGGCACACTCACGGGGCGCACACGGCAGTACACCTAATGGGACAGACGAATGGAAAACCTGAAGGCGTCAACATTGAAAGCCTTGCTATGCCAGGCAGGTGAATAAAAGTCTTATTTCCCCCATTGAAAGTAGGTTTATGCCTGGGTACCCTGTAACTGTACAAGAGTACAATCCCAGCATAACCTATAACCTCCAAGCATCTTAATAAAATTGAATTAAACAAACATGACCAAACAAGAGGAAAATGTTAGGATGCTGAATCTCTTTTGAGCCACAGAGCAAGGCGTTATCAGTTGAGTTTTAGACATTGCGTGATATAAGTAGCCCTCTGTATTAAAAGATTCTGTTACTATACAATATAATACTAGTAATAATAATACAATATTATAATTATAAATTTACATTACATGTAATATTACTAATAATATTACAATATAATGGTATAGTGCAATATAGTAATATATAATTGTTGTAGTAGAGTCTGTTGGCAATGCTGCAACTGGTAGTAGGAGTGGTAGAGGAGGGAAACGAGGCGCCCAGGTGTTAGACGAGGAACAGCAAAGGAAGAGGATCCGGGAGATATTTATATCACCCACTGATGAAAAGTCCTTCGAGGGTTTCTCCGAGAGTGAAATGAGTGAGGATGAGAAAACCTCTGAAATAAAGCAATATTAAGTGCCTTCAAATCCCCTTGTTTTTAAAAAAGGGAAATAGTAATCACGGGATACACCAAGTATTATTCTGCCTCGCTTCTGTGCTAAACATTAAGGAGTGTGCCCTACCCAAAAGCAGCCACTTACCCCAACAGGGTCCTTCAAAATATCTTTGAAGGGCTTCTTCGGCACACATTTACGAGGAGTTTTAGTTCTAGAAATGAAAAAAAACAAGTATCAGAGAGGGCCATCCAAAACCTCTGAAAATGCATCATATGTCTAAGCTCTTTTGTCTCAGGTATCCATGGGGCTTGAATTGTATCCCCAATGATACAGATGCATATTGTATGCTTGAAACACAGGGCCTGGAGGCAATTCTATACAACACTAGCACACATACCTGGCAAGTATATATGCCAGTTAAGTAAATATTTATGATATATGTTTCATTCTATTTTGATATTTATATCCTGTTGGTTTTTAATCACATTGGCTTGTTGTAGATTTTTCAGGTTGTATGGCCATGTTCTAGAAGCATTCTCTCCTGACGTTTCACCTGCATCTATGGCAGGCATCCTCAGAGGTTTTGAGTATGCATGCCACAGATGCAGGTGACATGTCAGGAGAGAATGCTTCTAGAACATGGCATATAGCCCAAAAAATCTACAACAACCCAGTGATTCCAGCCATGAAAGCCTTTCAACAATTTAATCAAATTGTTTTTAATATTGAGAGCTGCTTTGGGTCTACCTCAAGACAGAAAAATAGGGCATAAATAAATATTGTAACTACAATAATAATAATAATAGCCAACACACATTTTGGTGCCTCAAATGCGAGACCTGTTTCTGGATATATTTGATCTGCTGGTTTCAAAAATGGCATCGGTTTCCCCCTTTCAGCCCTAATTTTTGAGATACAGAAGCCATATACAACTCTTCACTCTGCTTGCCCATAAAGAATCCTGATAACCACATATCTAAGAATCCATAGCAGGTGAAGTCTAGTCAACGCAATTTTCTGAATCAGTGCCCCAAAGAACAGACCAAAAACACTAAGAATTGTGCTGTAATAGAGGTAGAACTGTGAGAAGGAAATAGGCTTCAGCGGTCAGAGCACAAAGTCCCAAAGTTGAGATCATTTTGGACTCCAATTTCCAAACATTATATTCTTATTCTTATTAAGTAACAGGTGCTGTGAGTCTCCTTTGGGAAAGAAAAATCAAGATGATGATTATCTATTCTAGGTCTTCTTTAGGAGAGAAGAAGCAAGATAACAATAAGGAGAGTAAGAACATAATGTTTCGGAATTGGAATCCAAAATCATTTCAACCTTGAGACTCTGTGTTCTTTAGGAGAAAAAGCATAATAATAATAATAATAATAATAATAATAATAATAATAACAACTGCTCTAGGTCTCTTTTGGGAGACAAGCAGCAACATAATAGTACGGTAATTATTATTATCTGCTCTGCATCCCCTTTAGAAGAGAAGAATAAAGATAACAATAATAGGTGTTTTGAGTCTCCTTTAGGAGAGAAGATAATAATAATAATAACAATAATAACAATAACAATAACAATAATAATAATAATAAGTTATTCTGAGTCTCCTTTGGGAGAGGAGTGACATAATAGTTGTTATATTATTATTATTTGCTCTGAGTCTCCTTTAGAAGAGAAGATTATAATAATTTTACTCTGAGTCTCCTTTAGGAGAAAAGAAGCACGCTAATAATAATAATAATAAATAGCTACTCTTAGTCTCCTTTAGGAAAGAAGCAATAATAATAATAATAATAATAATAATAATAATAATAATAATAATAATCAAACAACGGCTACTCTGAGTCTCCTTTGGGAGAGAAAAAGTGGCATAATAGTTGTTGTTCTTGTTATTATTATTATTAGTTGCTCTGAGTCTCCTTTAGAAGAGAAGATAATAATTTTACGAGTCTACTTTAGGAGAGAAGAAGCAAGATAATAATAATAAGCTATTCTAAGTCTCCTTTGAGAGAGGAGTGACATAATGGTTGTTATATTATTATTTGCTCTGAGTTTCCTTTAGAAGAGAAGATTATAATAATTTTACTCTGAGTCTCCTTTAGGGGAAAAGAAGCACGATAATAATAATAATAATAATAATAATAATAATAATAATAATAAATAGCTACTCTTAGTCTCCTTTAGGAAAGAAGCAATAATAATAATAATAATAATAATAATAATAATAATAATAATAATAATAATAAACAACGGTTACCCTGAGTCTCCTTTGGGAGAGAAAAAGTGGCATAATAGTTGTTGTTCTTGTTATTATTATTATTAGTTGCTCTGAGTCTCCTTTAGAAGAGAAGATGATAATAATTTTACGAGTCTACTTTAGGAGAGAAGAAGCAAGATAATAATAATAAGCTACTCTGAATCTCCTTTAGAAGAGAAGACGCAAAATAATAATAATAATAATAATAATAATGTCAAAGGCTTTCATGGCCGGAATCACTGGGTTGTTGTAGGTTTTTCCGGGCTATGTGGCCATGTTCTAGAGGCATTCTCTCCTGACGTTTCGCCTGCATCTATGGCAAGCATCCTCAGAGGTAGTGAGGTCTGTTGGAAGTAGGAAAATTGGGTTTATATATCTGTGGAATTCCATATAGCCCGGAAAAACCTACAACAACCCAATAACAACAACAACAACAACAACAACAACAACAATAATAATAAATGGCTACTCTGGGTCTCCTTTGGGAAAGAAGAAGCAACATAATAGTTGTCGAAGGCTTTCATGGCTGGAATCACTCAGTTCTTGTGGGTTTTTTCGGGCTATATGGCCATGTTCTAGAGGCATTTCTCCTGACGTTTCGCCTGCATCTATGGCAACCATCCTCAGAGGTGAGGTCTGTTGGAACTGGGAAAAAAAGGGTTCCTTTTCTATATGTCCTAGTCATCCGTAAGCCAGATCAACAATTGGGTCACACCGTTTACAGAAAACCCACACACACAGATAGATATCTACATAAAAACTCCAACCATCACCCAAGTAAAAAAAGAAGCCCCATTAAAGCCTTGGCAGGCCGTGCAAAAAGAATCTGCAAACCCCACCTCCTCCAAGATGATCTGAACCACCTCAACTGGGCTCTCCAGGCCAATGGAGACTCCACCTCAGACATCAGAAGAGCTGCAAGACCAAGAACAAGCCACGAGAGTAAAGATGAAGATCCACCCAGAGGAAAAGTGTTCCTGCCATACATCATGGGAACCACTGACCGCATAGGGAAGCTGATGAGGAAACACAACATACAAACAATCTACAAACCCACCAAGAAAATCCAACAAATGCTACGTTCAGCAAAGGACAAGAGGGATCCTCTCACTTCTGCAGGAGTCTACCGTATACCATGTAGCTGTGGACAAGTCTACATAGGGACCACCAAACGCAGTAGCATTGCCCAAACAAGAATCCAGGAACATGAAAGGCACTGCAGTCTACTTCAACCAGAGAAGTCAGCCATAGCAGAGCACCTGATGAACCAGCCTGAACACAGCATATTATTTGAGAACACAAAAATGCTGGACCACTCTCACAACCACCATGTCAGACTACACAGAGAAGCCATTGAAATCCACAAACATGTGGACAATTTCAACAGAAAGGAAGAAACCATGAAAATGAACAAAATCTGGCTACCAGTATTAAAAAATTCTAAAATTGCAACAGCAAAACAGCAGGGAGAAAAACAGGCTGGGACATCTAATCACCTTTCAAGAAGAGTTTGCTCCAGGCACAGTCAGCCCATTGTATGCTAATCAAGGTGGTCAGTTGAAAGATTCACACCTAGCCCAACTGACAAAAGCCCTTTGTCTCACCCTGGTCATTCCACAGATAGGTAAACCCCTTTTTTCCCCAGTTTCAACAGACCTCACTACCTCTGAGGATGTTTGCCATAGATGCAGGCGAAACGTCAGGAGAAATGCCTCTAGAACATGGCCATATAGCCCGAAAAAACCCACAAGAACTGAACATAATAGTTATTATTATTATTATTATCATCATCATCATCATTATTACTAGTTGCTCTGAGTCTCCTTTAGAAGAGAGGATGATAACAATAATTTTACTCTGAGTTTCCCTTAGGAGAGAAACAAAAAAGAAGAATAGCTGCTCTGAGTCTCCTCTGAGAGAAAAGAAGCGACGAAATAATTGTTTTTATTTGCTCTGAGCCTCCTTTAGGAGAGAAGAAGCAAGATGATAATAATATAACAGCTATTATTGTTGTTGTTAGTGTTGTTATTATCCACCCAGAAACCCTTTCACTCACGCAGCTGCCATCTTCTTCTTCTTCCGTCTCCTTCCCGACTTTGCAGTTTAAACTTTCCCTCGCAGAGTCGCGCTTCCGGGGCGTGGCCTTCTTCAATTCCAAACTCGCCAATCAGGACGCAGCAAACAGGACAAAAGGCGGGGCCTGGCTGGGCTCCGCCCTACTGCAACGTCTCGCCTTGCTTCGAGGGACGGGGCTTGGCGGGGGTTTGCCTAGGCGCATGCGTCACAAAGGAATGCAAGGGAGGGGGAATGCTGTGCGAGCGGAACCTCATGGTTTCCAAGGCAACAACGACGCCTACTCGAGCTCAGGCTTCAAGAAAGCACACTAGGCCCGAAAAAAAGTGGAAAAAAAGTTCAAGTTCTCGCCTCATAGAAAGGACTACCACCTGACCCGCCTCATAGGAAACCTGCTACAAAACAGGAGCTTTTTTGTTGAGTACCAGGGCCAGAGAAGCAGATGGCGGAAACAGAAGAACGGCCTGCCTCAGGGGAGCGTGCTTGCTCCATCCATGTTCAACATCTACACACATGACCAGCCACTGCCAGAAGGGACAGAGAGCTTCATCTATGCTGATGATCGTGCCATTACTGCTCAAGCAGGGAGCTTTGAGATGGTTGAACAGAAGCTCTCCGAAGCTCTAGGTGCTCTTACTGCCTATTACAGGGAAAACCAGCTGATCCCCAACCCATCTAAAACACAGACATGTGCCTTTCATCTCAAGAACAGAGAAGCATCCCGAGCTCTGAAGATCACCTGGGAAGGAATCCCACTGGAGCATTGCAGCGCACCCAAATCCCTGGGAGTCACTCTGGACCGTGCTCTGACCTACAAGAAGCACTGCCTGACCATCAAGCAAAAAGCGGGTGCTAGAAACAATATCATACGAAAACTGACTGGCACAACCTGGGGATCACAACCAGACACGGTGAAGACATCCGCCCTTGCGCTATGCTACTCTGCTGCTGAGTATGCATGCCCAGTGTGGAACACATCTCACCACACTAAAACAGTGGATGTGGCTCTTAATGAGACATGCCGCATTATCACGGGGTGTCTGCGCCCTACACCACTGGAGAAATTACAATGTCTAGCCGGTATTGCACCACCTGACATCCGCCGGGAAGTAGCAGCCAATAGTGAAAGGACCAAGGCAGTGACATCTCCAGCTCATCCCCTGTTTGGGTATCAGCCAGCACGTTAACGACTTAAATCAAGAAATAGTTTTCTAAGATCTACAGAGACACTTGCTGGAACACCTCAGCAAGCGAGAGTCCAAAAGTGGCAGGCTCAAACCCAGAACCTCAACCAATGGCTGATACCAAATGAGAGACTCCCCCCTGGGCACACAGAGGACTGGGCAACTTGGAAGGTGCTGAACAGACTGCGTTCTGGCACCACAAGATGCAGAGCCAACCTTCAGAAATGGGGCTACAAAGTAGAATCCTCGACATGCGAATGTGGAGAGGAGCAAACCACTGACCACCTGCTGCAATGCAACCTGAGCCCTGAAGCATTCCAAGTGGCCAGATACTGGTCAAAGCACATTTAACAAACTACCAAACTCACATATAAATGTTGTATTTTGTCTGTTTGTTTGCCTTGTTCTGTTAGAAATGTAATATAACTGACTGGTTGATCTGACACGACAAATAAATACCTTTTTCTGATCCATAAAAGGGCCAGCATCTCACGCAGAAATAGGGTGAAAATAAGCAGCTTCAAATTGCTAGTTATAATCAATCTCTTTTATGAGAGAAAAGTGACCTATAAATAAACACAATAATAATCAATGCAAATATTCCACAATATACCTTTTTATTTGTTCATTCCCTCAAAAGTGCTTATGCAATACGCCTCGGCAGAGATTATTTATAAAAAGAGTAAATATATATATAGAGGAAAAAAAAACAATTTCAAAGACACTTGGCTCATTTTTGAAGTAAGAAAAATCTGTACATTATTATTATTATTATTATTATTATTATTATTATTATTATAAACACAACAAGATGAGTCCACAGCAGAGAAGATCACTCTGCTGGTTGTTGTATTGGATCACACGTTGAACACTTCCCAAGTGTCTAGGATTTTGTATTTATTATTATTATTATTATTATTATTATTATTATTATTATTATTATTATTATTATTATTAGACAGCTTAAAGCACTGTCTCATTTTCTGACTTCTCCCACTTGATCCTCAGCTTATTTTGATATCCAAAGGATATAAAGGATGTACATTCAACTGTTGGGGATATGGGGTTGCTGTGAGTTTTCTGGGCTGTCTGGCCATGTTCCAGAAGCATTCTCTCCTGACATTTCACCCACGTCTATGGCAGGCATCCTCAGAGGTTGTGAGGTCTGTTGGAAACTAGGCAAGTGGGGTTTATATATCTGTGGTATAACGTCCAGAATGGGAGAAAGAACTCTTATCGGCTTGAGGCAGATATGAATGTTGCAATTGGCCACCTTGATGAGCACTGAATGGCCTTGCAGCTTCAAAGCCTGGCTGCTTCCTGCCTGGAGGCATCCTTTGTTGGGAAGTGTTAGCTGGCCCTGATTATTTCATATTATTATGTTTATTATGTTTATTATTATTTGATACACAGCAAGATTAGCACACAGCAAACAAGATCACTATGTTGGCTTTATATGTCAATGTTGTCAATGTTGCAATCCCAGGTAACAGCAGGATTGAAGAGAAACAACTGGAAAAGCTGACACGCTATGAGGATTTAAAGATCGAACTGCAAAGACTGTGGCACAAGCCAGTCAAGGTGCTCCCAGTGGTGATCGGCACACTGGGTGCAGTGCAGACCTTGGCCTGCACTTAAACAGAATCGGCGCTGACAAAATTACCATCTGCCAGCTGCAGAAGGCCACCTTACTGGGCTCTGCATGCATTATTTGCCGATACATCACAACAGTCCTAGACACTTGGGAAGTGTCCGACGTGTGATCCAATACAACAGCCAGCAGAGTGTCTGCTGTGGACTCATCTTGTTGTGTTTCAAATAACAATAACAACAACAACAACAACAACAACTACCATCTGCTTGCGACAAAGAACTGGTGGGATTACAAGTCTGAAAAAATTACACAAAATGAACTCATCAAACTACTTTGGGACTTCCGAATTCAGACTGACAGAGTTTTGGAGCACAATACTCTTGTTCTCATGATTGTATGTATCGTCGACCTCACAATCGTAAGTATGGATTGTTGATGTTGCAATCCCAGGTGACCACACGATTGACGAGAAGCAACCAGAAAAGCTTACACAATACGAGGATTTAAAGATCGAGCTGCAAGGACTCTTGCACAAGCCAGTCAAGGGGGTCCCAGTAGTGATCGGCACACTGGGTGCAGTAGCTAAAGCCGTCGGCTTGCACTTAAAAACAATAAGTGATAACAAAATTACCATCTGTTGGAAGCAAAAGGCTACTCTACTTGGACCTGCACAAATTATTTACTGATACATCACACAGTCCTAGACACTTGGGAAGTGTCTGACATGTGATCCAATGCAAAAACCAGCATAGTGATCTTATTTGCTGTGTATTAATCTTGTTGTGTATTAAACAATAAACATATTATGTTTATTTCTATCCCTCTTTAGCTCACCTTTGTTCCTTGATGGTTCAATGACATAAAATTATTAAATATAATGTGTATAAAGTTACCATCAGGCTTCATCCAAAAGATATATTTGAAACATCAAAGGAATTTTGTGTGTTAACCTGAATCCTATCTCCAAAATATCTCATTATGTATATGCAAATAACACCATGTAATGAAATTTGGAGAAGAAATCTGTTCCTGGTTTGGAAGTGTTATTTCCTGTTGAATTGTGTGGCCCTTACTTTGAAAGTTGTCGTTATATTCCATAATCTTCCTTTTTGTGCTCAAAACTATGTTGAATGTGTTGGGACTCGATGATGATATAAGAGATATTCATTGGAAATGTCCCTCCCACAATGACAAAGTTGGTGCAATTTAATAAACTTTTCCCATGTTTTGATGATAGAACCAATTTGGAAAGGACATTGATAACCCAGGAACAAAAATCATAGTGTTACATAATATAATCCAAAATACTTCTGGCCCCAAGGATTTTGGATAATGGAGACTCAACCTTTACAGTGACGAAATTCAGTGCTTGGACTGTGTATTTGCAGCCCTTGCCATTGCAAAGAAGGCACTCCAGTGGTCAAACCCAAGTCCATCCTTTCAAGTCCAGCTTCAAGCTCAAACAATGCCAGAGAGAAAGGCCGAGCCCAAATTCGTACTGAAAAAGTCCCTTTTAGCCATTCCCCAAATTCTTCAAAGCAGGAATAAATAGCTGCTCTTGGTATTGTTCATGTTCTCTTAAAGACCAAAAGGAGACCCCCCAGAGGCCATCCAGTCCAACCCCATTCTGCCAGCAGGATACAACTCAAGCCCTCCCGACAGATGACCATTCAGCAATGGTAGTAAAGTCCCATTTTCTGTCCGAAATCAGCCTCAGTCCCTCCGGCTCTTGCTTTTGTTTCTCCTTCCAGAGAGTGTTGGCGTGGAATACAGGGAGGCGGAGAAAGCAGCGATGATGAGAAGGCCGGCCATAGCACAGACCGCCATTGAAGCGACAGCCCGAGGGAAGAAGGAAGGGTCCGGCAGCGAAGCCAGGAGCTGCTTGCGCCTCTTCATCATGTCTGTGGAAAGGGCCTCCATTTGGAAGTGGGTGCCCACGACCCCACAGATGTGGAAGAGCTGGTGGCTGTGCCCTGAAAAGAGATTTTATATATTGAGAGAGATATCGGTATAAATATATGTCTAAGATACAGGTTTTCCCCGACATTAAGTCCAGTCGTGTCCAACTCTGGGACTCTGGTGCTCACCTCCATTTCTAAGCCGAAGAGCCGGCGTTGTCCATAGACACCTCCAAGGTCATGTGGCCGGCATGATTGCATGGAGCACCATTACCTTCCCGCCGGAGCGGTACCTATTGATCTACTAACATTTGCATGTTTTCGACCTCCTAGGTTGGCAGAAGCTAGGGCTAACAGCAGGAGCTCACCCTGCTTCCCAGATTCGAACCTACGACCTTTTGGTCAGCAAGTTCAGCAGCTCAGCGGTTTAACCCACTGTGCCACCAGAGGCTGCCCATATGTATATATACCATATTTAATTGAATCTCATTCACCATCAAATCTAATGCGCATCTTCATTTTCAAAACCTTGAAACCAAAAAAGTATTTGTAACTAATGTAATGCGCAGCAGCAAACAGTGCACTCTTTGTAACTGAGACAAAAAAAAGGTGCACATTGCAGTTGCTTCATTTTTAGAATGCCTTCTTTAAATCTTCCATTAATGGAAAGGAAAGCCTTGGGGTGCATCTATGCTGCAGAGTGAATCCACTTTAACTGCCTTGGTTCAATGCTATGGAGTCTTGAGAGATGTTGTTTGACAAGGTCTTGAGCCTGCTCTGCCAAAGAGTGCCGATGTATCAACAAACTACAAATCCCAGCGTTGCATAGCATTGAGCCGTGGCAATTAAATCAGAGGTGACATCCCTCAAACAGGCGAAGCTCCTGAAGAAGCTTCCCCTTTGGCTTTAGCTTGGCACTAAGATAATTGTAGGACATGAATCTAATGCACACCCCAATTTTGACAAGGGAATTTAGCCCCAAAAGGTGAGCATTAGATTTGTGTAATTAGTAATTAGTAATACCACATGTAATATAAAATATATAATTATAATATCATATTATTAGTAGTATTATATTGTATTACATTACCAGGGGACTCAGAGCGGCTTACAAGATATATATACATACAATATATTATATTATGAGCATAGTACAATATCAGCATTAAATATTACTATATTGTACTACACCATTATATTATAATATTATTAGTAATATTACATGTAATATAAATATATAATTATAATATCATATTATTAGTATAGTATTATATTGCATTACATTATAATATTATAAATATTATATGTATATACAATATATTATATTACATTATATTATATTACATTATATTATATTATTAGATGCTTGTATCATCTATATCTATCTCAAAGTGACCACGACCAACTTTGTGACATTAAAACAATTCAATTTAAAATCCACAACATACAATTGTCGGAATAGATTCAAACAGACAAGTCTATGAAAGTCACTTAAAGGTAAAGGTAAAGGTTTCCCCTGACATTAAGTCAAGTCTTGTCTGACTCTGGGACTCCGGTGCTCATCTCCGTTTCTAAGCCGAAGAGCCAGCATTGTCCATAGACACCTCCAAGGTCATGTGGCCAGCATGACTGCATGGAGCGCTGCTACCTTTCATCTACTCCCATTTGCATGTTTTTGAACTGCTAGGTTGGCAGAAGCGAGAGCTTGCCCCGCTCCCCAGATTCGCTCTACCAACCTTTTGGTCAGCAAGTTCAGAAGCTCAGCAGTTTAACCTGCTGCGACCCTGGGGGCTCTCTTAACACACTTAAAAACAATTGAAATCTTAATCAAAATAGAGCATCCTATCTAAGGAAATGGATGGTACAGTATTCAATACCATTTAGGACAGCATTTCTCAACCTAGGGGTCAGGACCCTTTCGAGCCATAGTGTAAAATTATATGCTGTCTAGGATGCCATAATATTCTAAATAAAAACAAAAACAAAAAAGAAGAATGGGTTATGAAATACTGAAGCCCTATTAGCGAAAACCCCTTTGTGCCATTTGGATCATTCTCCATACGTGAATATTCCAAAATCCAAAACACTTCTGGCCTGAAGCAATTCAGAGAAAGGATCGCACCGGATTAAAAACAACCTAAAACAGAAATGGAAACCAGAGATATAGCACTTGCATTGCCTTTTGGCATGTTCTCACCAATGTAGTCGAAGAGCCCCGGAGCAAGGCGTTCTGGTAGGTGCGTTGCGAAAAGGAAGCAGGTGAGCCAGGCCAGGATTGTGTGCCAGCAATGGGTGCGAATCATGCCACCTTGACACCAGTACAGCTGGAAGGATGCAGAAAGAATGAGAGAGTTATTTATGGGCTGTAGAGGGAACTGCCGCCGTTAAAATGGTATTGAAGTTCTATAACTCGGAAATGGAAATGGCACCCTATGATGGGAGCGTATCTCTCTTACCCGGTAGAAGAGAGGTATGCTGTCATACAAGTACGGATACGCAAAGGCTAATATGCGCATCCCTTTGCCCAATTTTGGCCGCTCCGCTTCCGCCAACCTGGGATTGAAAAGAAGAAGAAAACACTAAATATATTGTCAAAGGCTAAACATATTTGTCACTTGCAGAAACATGATTCATTACGTCATCATAATCAGGATCATCATCAAGCACCTTATAAAGTGAAGCTCTGCTTCAGGAAATCTGGAAATAAAAAGAATAATAAAACAATGTCCAGTGCCCATTGTTCATTCACACCTAGGTCACGATGAACGGGGGCACATAAGATAAGACACCCCCCCCCCTTCTTAGAGATGTAAAATTGCCTTGGTTCAAGAACAGGTTGAGTTGGGAGGAAAGTTCCACAGCAGTAAATCTGTTCAGGATTTTAGTCCGAACTTTAAAGAGTCTATCCGAGGCACTGAACCAACTTGAGCACCTGAAAGTGTGGGTAAAAACTGGGACCAACTTAATTATGGCACTGGTATCACAACAATGCGTCTGGTGGGGACGAGGGACAGGGCCTTCTTGGTGGTGACCCCCCGCTTGTGGAATACCATCCCCAGAGAGATTAGATCGGCGTCCTTCCTCCTTTCCTTTAGGAAAAAACTCAAATCGTGGTTTTGGAACCAGGCTTTCAGCGAGTTAGCACAGCAGCACCAGGGACTTCGAACTGGTCCATACGACTGTTATGATAATTGGAAACGGCTATGTGATGTGATTATTTAACTCATGTTACTGTTTTTAATTTTTTAATATATTCATGGTTTTATATTGTTGTCTATTGATATTGTGGCATCGAATTGTCGCCTATGTTAGCCGCTCTGAGTCTCCCCCCCCCCTCCCCCGGGGGGGGGGGGTTGAGAAGGGCTGGATAGAAATGCTGTAAATAATAATAATAATAATAATAATAATAATAATAATAATAGTAATAATAATAATAATAACAACAACAACAATGGGAAAGGCCACCTTCTCCATTTTCCATCACCACCATGCGCCCCTGGCTCCATCAGCTCTAGATGGAGATACCCTTTTCTCCCAAATCTTTTCTGGTGTTGTCCAGTTGAGGCCGTGACAGACTTTGTATTTCTAGGGGCAAAGATTACTGCAGATGCAGACTGTAGCCAGGAAATCAGAAGACGCTTACTTCTTGGGAGGAGAGCAATGTCCAGTCTCGATAAAATAGTGAAGAGTAGAGACATCAGACTGGCAACAAAGATCCGCCTAGTCAAAGCCATGGTATTCCCCATAGTCACCTACGGACGTGAGAGCTGGACCTTAGGGAAGGCTGAGCGAAGGAAGATAGATGCTTTTGAGCTGTGGTGCTGGAGGAAAGTTCTGAGAGTGCCTTGGACTGTGAGAAGATCCAACCAGTCCATCCTCCAGGAAATAAAGCCCGACTGCTCACTGGAGGGAAGGATACTAGAGACAAAGTTGAAGTACTTTGGCCACATCATGAGGAGAAAGGAAAGCCTAGAGAAGACAATTATGTTGGGAAAGTGGAAGGCAAAAGGAAGAGGGGCCGACCAAGGGCAAGATGGATGGATGGCATCCTTGAAGTGACTGGACTGACCTTGAAGGAGCTGGGGGTGGTGACGGCCGACAGGGAGCTCTGCGTGGGCTGGTCCATGAGGTCACGAAGAGTCGGAGACGACTGAACGAATGAACAACAACAACCAGTTGTTGTTGGGACTGCCTACTTTTTTCCCTTCTCCACTCTCCTTTGTCTTCCTGCCTTCCTTCCTTCCTTTTTATTTCTCTTCTCCTCTCTCCCTCCCTACGCTTTTCTTCCTTCATAATACAAACACAAAGACAAACAAACATTGACTTTTATACAAATAGATATATGACTGCACCTGGACCTGGGAGAGAGCACCAACCTTTACCTGGAGTAGCAGGAGAGGCATGTGCTGAAAACGGTGTTGAGCACTGCAATGGAGAGGTAGTATCGGTGGAACGTGCTGCCGATCCATTCATCGGGGAATACGTAGGCAGAATAAGCCACGGCAGAGCCTGAACAAAACAACAACAAATCCCATGCAAATTACTAAAGCCAGACCACTCTCCTGTGCATCCAGACTGCATAGTTCATGCAGTTTGATGCTGCTGCAACCATTTGACCTCACCGAGGCTGTAGAGAGCCAGGGCGCCATAGTCGCAGAAGTAGCAGATGTGCCTGGCGCGGAGGGACATAGTGCTGAAGGTGTGGGCCACGCTGGAGGCCAAGGGGTAGGCACAGCAAGTGGCCATGTAAGCCAGGAAGGGCCAGGTGTAGCGGTCACTCCAGACATCCCGGGACAAGACGAAGTCTAGCAGCTTCCATAGGAAGTACCTGCAAGGCAGGAAAGAGGAGAAGGATCAATGTTGTGGGAGGGGCTGCAGACCATGTGATCAGAACTGGGCTTGTTCAGGACTCAAACTCTATTTTAGAAACAGTTTGCTTTCAAAAGCCAGCAGAAACTGTGTGTTTCAGACTTCAGTAGGAACTATATGCTTAGAGACTTCACTGTATGAACAGAATACCGGTCAGAAGCAATTAGACCAGCGTTTCTCAACCTGGGGGTCAAGACTCCGGGGGGGGGGGGTCGCAAGGAGGTGTCAGAGAGGTCGGCAAAACCATCAGAAAACACAGCATTTTCTGTTGGTCATGGGGGTTCTGTGTGGGAAGCTTGGCCCAATTATGTCATTGGTGGAGTTCAGAATGCTCTTTGATTGTAACTGAACTATAAATCCCAGGAACTACAACTCCCAAATGTCAAGGCCTATTTCCCCCAAACTCCACCAATGTTCACATTTGGGCATATTAAGTATGAGTGCCAAATTTGGTCCAGATCCATCATTGTTTGAGTCCACAGTGGTCTTTGGATATAGGTGAACTACAACTCCAGAACTCAAGGTCAATGCCCACCAAACCCTTCCAGTATTTTCTGTTGGTCATGGGAGTTCTGTGTGCTAACTTTGATCCAGTTCCATCTCTGGTAAATTTTAGAATGCTCTTTGGTTGTAGGTGAACTATAAATCCCAGCAACACAACAACAACTCCCAAATGACAAAACGAACCCTTCGCCCACAGCCCCACCAGTATTGAAATTTGGGCGTATCGGGTATTTGTGCCAAATTTGGTCCAGGGAATAAAAATGCATCCTGCATATCAGATATTTACATTACGTTTCTTCAGCCTTCTCTGCCAAAGGGATTCCTAAGACCATCAGAAATATATGTTTTCAGATGATCTTTGGCGACCCCTCTAAAACCCCCTTTAACCCCTCCCCAGGGTCCCGACCCCAGGTTCAGAAAGCTGATCCAACAGGTCATGCTCTTACGAAGAGGTTATGGCACCATTTCTCAAAAGGTTATGACTTCTAACAAGGTCATGCCTTTCCAAAGATCATAAAATCTCCAAAAGTTTTTGGGGATTTTCATTTTCCAAAAACTTTAAAGGCATCCCAAACACAGCGCAGACATACCAGGAAGGCAAGAAGTGAGTCCAGATATTCATAGTTTCGTTTGTCATTTGGAAGACGCTGAAGAGGCAATCCGTGGCCGAACTCTTTGGGTGACGGTACCCGAAAAGGATGCCCTTCTCTCGGAAAACCTGCAAAAGGGGGACCAATAACACCAAAATGAGTTTGGATTGCTTTCTCAGCTACTACTTTCTTAGGTGATCCCTTGTTGTCCGAGTAGGATAGTCTTCTGAAATCAGTGTACTGGCGGTGGGTCCGTAGGTTACTGTGGAGCCCTATTCTTGATCCGAATGTTCTCCCGCAGTGAGGGCATTAGTTTCAAGGTGGAAGGCGGTCCCGGTCGGGGTTGGCTTGACACGGCTTCCTCTTGGCAAATTTCTCTCTTTCGCTCTCCATTAATGCCTCTTCAAATTCTACAGCACTGCTGGTCACAGTGGAGCGCTCAAGAGCCAGGACTTCCCAGTTCTCAGTGTCTTTGCCAGAGTTTTTAAGGTTCACTTTGAGCCCATCTTTAAATCTCTTTTCCTGCCCACCAACATTTTGTTTTCCTTTTTTGAGTTCGGAGTAGAGCTGCTTTGGGAGACGGTGGTCGGGCATCCAGACAATGTTGCCAGTCTAGCGGAGTTGATGACGGAGGACCATCGCTTCAATGCTGGTGGTCTTTGCTTCTTCCAGCACTCTGACATTTGTCCGCTTGTCTTCCCAAGAGATATGCAGGATTTTTCGGAGGCTACACCGATGCAATCGTTCTAGAAGTTGCATGTGACGTCTGTAGACAGTCCACATTTCACAAGCATATAGCAGGGTTGGGAGGACAATAGCTTTATAAACAAGCACCTTGGTATCCCTACAAATGTCCCGGTCCTCAAACACTCTGCTTCATTCAGAAAAATGCTGCACTCGCAGAGCTCAGGCGGTGATGTATTTCAGTGTCAATGTTGACTTTGGTGGAGAGGTGGCTGCCAAGGTAACAGAAATGGTCAACATGTTCTAATGTTACACCAGTAAGCTGTATTTCTGGCATTGGAGAGGGATTGGCTGGTGACTTCTGAAAGATCACTTTGGTTTTCTCAATGTTCAATGACAGGCAAGCTTCTTGTATGCTTCTGCGAAGATGTTTAGAGTGGCTTGCTTTCTTAGCATTGTCAGCCTGAGGGTGCGTCTACACTGTTGCATGAATGCAGTTTGGCACCACTTGAACTGCCCCAGCTCAGTGCTATGGAAACATGAGAGTTATACTTTGGTGACACACCAGCATTCTTGGACAGAAAAGGCCGAAACCCTGGTCAGACTACATCTTCCATCATTACATAGATTTCTAGCCTTGGCAGTTCAAGTGGTGTCACACTGCATTATTTTGGCAGTGCAAATGCACCTCAATTTGCATTGAATGAAGACGAAGTAGGAAAACCGGAAAAGCGGCAGGCCAAAGATAGTGATGCTATCGCAATTTTGGTGGCATCGCGTGCCATGGAGCCCACATCTACAAAGAGGGTTTGTTTTGGTGACTTTTCATGTCCACAAGATGTCTCCACTGCCACAGGAAGCAGGAGCAGTGAGCACTGAGGAAACCCAACAAATCTGCACAAAGTTAGAGATAAGCAAGAAGAAGCCAGGAGCAAAGAGGAGGGTGCCTTTCTGAAAAGTGTATTTCAACACCAGAGGCTGGTTGGCACAAGGGCCAGCGGCTAGAATCACATTATTTCTCCTCTTTTCCTTACGTATTTGCACATTTCTTGAGCCATAGCTCGGTGGCACTCCAGGCTTTATTCTCGAAGCAACAATGGTTGCATCTGCACTGTAGAATTTGAAAGCACTTGAACTGCCATGGCTCAAGGCAACTGGATCCTGGGAGTTGTAATTTGGTGAGATACAGGGTGCATTTATATTTTATTTATTTACAACATTTATATGCCACCCTTCTTACCCCGAAGGGGACTCAGAGCAGCTTACAAGATATATATACATACAATATTATATTATTAGCATAGTACAATATCAGTATTATATATTAGTATATAGAACTATATCATTATATTGTAATATTATTAGTAATATCACATGTAATATAAAATATATAATTATAATATCATATTATTATTAGTATTATATTGTATTACATTATAATATTTTTTTCTGTAAAATTGTAATTCATTCCCTTCCAAGAATCTAGAATATCCCTTCAATAACAAATTAACAGAATGTTTTTCATGTGGAGGAGAAATATAAGGCAATCATAGTACCAGATGAAACCAGCGGAAACCCAGATATTCTGTTTAATACGATAGTGCAAGTTAACAGCAAATTGCTAGAAATGACAACACTTTCATTTGGATTAGAATAATATTATATTACTAGCCATCCCCTGCCACGAGTTGCTGTGGCCCAGTGGTGATCTGGAAAATAAAGTGATGTGAAAGAGTTGGATTGTAATATACGTAATTTCTTTGTGCTTGTGGGTAAGCAGTATTTCTTGCTGTTTCTTTGTCAGTGTTGATGTAGAGATTGTCTGGTTTGCCTATTCTGGAACATGCAACATATCACTGTCCTTCTTTAGGGGTCCCTTTTAGATCTATGATACTATCTCTGTGTGTGTGTGTGTGTGAATCATATCTATCTGTCTATATCTACAGCAAGATGGCTCTTTGTCAGGAGGGCTTGATTACGTTTTCTTGCTCTGGTAAAGGGAGTTGGGCTGGGTACCTTTAAGTATTTTCTGTTGGTCATGGGGATACTGTGTGGGAAGTTTGCCCCAATTTTGTCGTTTGTGGGGTTCAGAATGATCTTTGATTGTAGGTGAACTATAAATCCCAGTAACTACAAATTCCAAATGTCGAGGTCTATTTCCCCCAAACTCCATTTGTGTGCATATTTGGGCATATGGAATATTCGTGCCAAGTTTGGTCCAGATCTATCATTGTTTTGAGTTGACAGTGCTCTCTGGATGTAGGTGAACTACAACTCCCAAACTCAAGGTCAATGTCCACCAAACACTTCTAGTGTTTTCTGTTGGTCATTGGAGTTTTGTGTGCCATGTTTGGTTCAATTCAGAACTTCTTGATTGTTTTTATTTGTTATAATTGTTGAGGCATCTAATTGTTGCCAATTTGTGAACTGCTTCGAGTCGCCTCTGGGCTGAGAGGGGCAGTATATAAATATAGTAAATAAATAAATAAATTCCATCACTGGTGGAGTTCAGAATGCTCTTTGGTTGTAGGTTAACTATAAATCCCAGCAACTACAACTCCCAAATGACAAAATCAATTTTTTTGAATGATGGTCACTCGTTGGCCTGATAGGTGTCTTGTGTCCAAATTTGGTGTCAATTCGTCCAGTGGTTTTTGAGTTATGTGAATCCCACAAACTAACATTACATTTTTATTTATATAGACATGTATATACAATATATTATATTACTTTATAATATATTATATGGTAGAATTAATTCAGTTTGATAGTACCGTATATTCCGGCATATAAGACGACTGGGCGTATAAGACGACCCCCAACTTTTCCAGTTAAAATATAGAGTTAAGACGACTCCCATGCATAAGACTACACCCGCGTATAAGACGACCCCTGACTTTTGAGAAGATTTTCTTGGGTTAAAAAGTAGTCTTATACGCCAGAATATACTGTACTTGAATTGCTATGGCTCAAGGTGACAGGATCCTGGGTGGTTGTCGTTCTGCAGAGCCTTTTCTGCCAAAGAGGAGTGGCAGTGCCTCTCCAAACTACAATTCACGGGATCCCATAGCCTTGAGCTGTGGCAGTTCAATTGGAGTCAATCTAAATTTATTCTGCATGCCTAAGAGAGGAGAGAATTATGAGGCCAAAGGGCTAAATCCCTGGGAAGAGCAAGCTACCGCCCTGCGAGGCGGGATGCAAACAGCTAGTAAAATGGAAAGAATCCAGCCCAGCAGGGTGTGGCCCACACCTTCCTTTTGCTGGTGGTGGATGAGCGTGGCAAAGAGACAGAAACCCTACCAGGGAGAGGACAAGCATCAAATGAGTTCATGGAGCTCTTCCTCTTCATCGTCATCCTCTTTCTCCTCTTCTTCTCCTTTACTTCCTCTTCCTCCTCTTCTTCCTCCTTCTCCTTCACCTCCTTCTCCTCTTCTTAATCTCTTTCTCCCCCTTCTCCTCTTCTTTTTCTTTCTCCTCTTTCTCCTCCTCCTCTTTCTCTTTCTTCTCCTCTTCCTTCTCTTTCTCCTCCTACTCCTTCTTCTTGTGTGCCTTCAAGCTATTCCCAACCTAGGGCGATCCGAAAGGGAAACCTACCCAGAATTTCCTTGGTGAGATTTGTCCAGAAGGCATTTGCCCTCGCCTTCCTCTGAGGCTGAGAGAGTGTGACTTGCCCAAGGCCACCCAATGGCAGAGTGGGGATTCAAACATGGATCTCCAGAATTTGTGGTTTTGGGGTTTGTGTTCTTTTTGCCTCCGACCCTGCTCAGAATGGGAATGAAGCTCCCAAGAATTATTGGAATAAGGATGATGACCTGTTAGGGTCACAACCTATTGGGGACTATGGATTATTATTATTATTATTATTATTAAACTTTATTTGTACCCCGCTAGCATCTCCCGAAGGACTCGATGCGGCTTTCAAAGTCCAAGGCCTCAACACAACAACAGCATAACAACAACAATACAATTCAAAGCAAATTAAAAACATAAAGCAATAACAAAACATTACACCATTACGCAGTAAAAACCAGGGCCGGGCCAGTGATGGGTACAGATTAAAAAGTGCTGGGTGTGACCGGTGGTATGATTGGATTTCTGGGCAAGTGCAATGTGAGAGGATCTTAAACTCTAGTAAAGTGCTTCTGGGACAAAGTGCTGGGGTTTTCCTATTCCGGAAAGGCACATCGGAATAGCCAAGTCTTCAAGCTCTTCCTAAAGACTGCCAACGTGGGTGCTAGTCTAATGTCTTTGGGGAGGGTGTTCCAAAGTCGGGGGCAATCACAGAGAAGGCCCTGTCCCTCGTCCCCACCAAATGCGCCTGCAACGCAGGTGGGATCGCGAGCAGGGCCTCTCCGGATGAACGAAGGGAGCACGTGGGTTTATAAGCGGAGATGCGGTCACGCAGGTAGGCAGGCCCCAAACCGTTTAGGGCTTTGTAGGTAAGCACCTGCACCTTGAATTGGGATCGGAAGGTAAACGGCAGCCAATGAAGCTCCTTAAACAGGAGGGTTGACCTCTCTCTGTAAGGAGCACCAGTTAACATCCTGGCCGCCGCCTGTTGAATTTCCGAGCCGTTTTCAAGGGCAGCCCCACGTAGAGCGCATTACAGTAATCCAATCTAGAGGTGACCAAGGCATGGACCACCCCAGCCAAATTATGACCTGTTAGGATAATAACCTATCGGGTAGCAGAGTTATGGGATGCAGCTCCCAAGAACTAAGCAGAGATTTCACATCTCCGATTTAGGAAAGGATGATCTTTGATTCAGGTAAAAAAACATGGGACCGATTCTTTATCTCCCAGCAGCCCCAGACAGCATAGCTAAAGGAATGCTGGGGTTCGCAATAGCTTCACACCCTTACTTTGCAACCAACACCCTAAAAACAACGGAGACTGCATCTACGCAACAGAATTATTTCAGTTCGACACCACTTTAACTGTGATATCTCAATGCAATAAAATCCAGGGAATTATAGTTTGGTGGGGAACCAAGAATGAAGGCGAAATACCTTGTGAAAGCACAACTCTGAGGATCTCATTGGGTTAAAGCTGCTGAACTTGCTGACCAAAAGGTCGCACGTTTGAATCTGGGGAGTGGGATGAGCCACTGCTGCTAGCCCCACCTCCTGCCAACCTAGCAGTTCGAAAACATGCAAATGTGAGTAGATCAATAGGTACCGCTCAGGCAGGAAGGTAACAGCGCTCCATGAAGTCATGCTGGCCACATGACCTTGGAGGTGTCTACGGACAACGCTGGCTCTTCGGCTGAGAAATGGAGACGAGCACCAACCCTCAGGGTGGGACACGACTGGACGATACCTTTACCTAGCGGTATCGAACTGCATCAATTCGTGTCAGAAATAAAGGATTCCCAGCACACAAGCTGGTTTTTCAATGGCAAGTTACTTACTCTTGCAAGTTACTACTTACTTTGGGGACTTGATGGATGCTGAGCAGTCGGGGTAGCTTCAAAGTCAGCATGGTGCAAATGGTTGGAAGCCAACGTCTTGCAAGGAACTTGGCCACCAAGGAGAGGAGCTTCCTTCCTTCCTTCCTTCCTTCCTTCCTTCCTTCCTTCCTTCCTTCCTTCCTTCCTTCCTTCCTTCCTTCCTTCCTTCCTTCCTTCTGCTTGGGACTCAGTTCAGGCTTGCTCTCTTTCACCTCTTGATGCGACTTGCTTCCAATTTGGCTGCAGAGGCCCAGAGGTGGTTTAATTTTTATTTTAATGAGAGAGAGAGAGAGAGAGAGAGAGAGAGAGAGAGAGAGAGAAACACACACCAAGTGTCAGTGAGGTTGCTATAGGAATGAAAACAATCCAGACAATCCTCAACTTGAAGGCAACCCTTTGAACAAACAAGGAGGGCCGTGCGGGTTTGGGTTTGCCTCTGCACGGCAATGCTTATCCATTTTGCAGGTGGGGCCAAACTGGGAGGGATCGCCAGGGCCCCTGAGGACAGGGTCACCACCAACCGTCATTTCAAACTTCTCAACTGTTGACACGCGTTGTCTTATTGCAATTGTTTTTTTTCCGCTCCAATGGAATCCACCCTGAGATATTGTGATATCAACATTGCCTATTACGAGGGTTGAATTAAAAGTAATGCCTCCACCTTCGTTACTTGGGTTTAGATGGGAATATTTGTAATAAATCAAACGCAGAAATAATCCTTAGAATGTGCTCTTTAACTACCACTATTCACTTTTTGACATAATCACCAGACAACTGGATACATTTCTTCCAATGATGCTAGTACCTGCCGCATACCAGTACTGCCATCTGTTGAGGAAGGAGCCCCCGGTGGCACAGTGGGTTAAACCCCTGTGCCAGCAGGACTGAAGACCGACAGGTCGCAGGTTCGAATCCGGGGAGAGCGCGGATGAGCTCCCTCTATCAGCTCCAGCTCCTCATGCAGGGACATGAGAGAAGCCTCCTACAAGGATGATAAAACATCAAAATCATCTGGTGTCCCCTGGGCAATGTCCTTGCAGACGGCCAGTTCTCTCACACCAGAAGTGACTTGCAGTTTCTCAAGTTGCTCCTGACACGACAAAAAAAAAAAAAATCTGTTGAGGAGTTACGAAGGTGAAGGCATTACGTTTCATTCAACCCTCGTATCAAATACATCCGTATCCAAACATGCAAAGTTGGTGGACTCACCTTTGGGCAGGTTTTGAGAACAAACGTTATCACTCCAAATGGAAGAGGAGAAAATGTGCAAAAACACAGCAACTTGCTATTTATTTATTTATCTATCTATCGTATCAGAAGTGTTTTTAAATACACTGTAATGTATTTACAAAACACAAAGTTTAAACAAAAACTTGGCATTGGATTAAATGTCCTTTGACCAGAAGCTGGCCACTTGGAGTTGCTGTAAGAAGGTCCTCCATTGTGAATGTGGCAGGGCTCAAGTTGCATTGTAGTAGGTGGTCTGTGGTTTGCTCTTCGCCACACTCGCATGTCGTGGACTCCATTTTGTGCCCCCATTTCTTAAGGTTGGCTCTGCATCTTGTGGTCCCAGAGCACAGCCTGATCAGTGCCTTCCAGATCACCCAGTCTTCTGTGTTCCCAGGAGGGAGTCTCTCATTCAGTATCAGCCACTGATTGAGGTTCCGGATTTTAGCCTGCCACTTTTGGACTCTTGCTTGCTGAGGTGTTCCTGTGAGTATCTCTGTAGATCTCAGGAAACTATTTCTTGATTTAAGGCATTGGTGTGCTGGCTGATATCTGAACAGTGGATGGGCCAGACATGTCCTTTCATTATTGGCTGCTACTTCCTGACGGATGTCAAGTGGTGCAATACCGGCTAGACAGTTTAATTTCTCCAGTGGTGTAGGGCGTAGACATCTTGAGATAATGGGGCATGCCTCATTAAGACCAATATCTACTGTTTTAGCGTGATGAGATGTGTTCCATACTGGGCATGCGTACTCAGCAGCAGAGTAGCCAAGCACAAGGGCAGATGTCTTCACTGTGTCTGGTTGTGATCCCTAGGTTGTGCCAGTCAGCTTATGTATGATGTTGTTTCTAGCACCCACTTTTTCTTGATATTCAAGAGGGAGCTCAGCCGCACTCTCCCTGGATTCGAACCTCCAACCTGTCTTCAGTCCTACTGGAACAAGGATTTAACCCACTGCGCCACTGGGGGCTCCTACCCAGCAAGTGGGGTTTATATATCTGTGGAATGATGTCGAGGGTGGAAGAAGGAACTCTTGTCTGTTTGAGGCAAGTGTGAATGTTGTCACTGGTTACCTTTTTTAGCATTGAATAGCTTTGCAGCTTCAAAGCTTGGCTGCTCCCTGTCTGGGGGAATCCTTTGTTGGGAGGTAATTACCTGGCCCTGAATGTTTCCTATCTGGAATTCCCCTGTTTTTTGAGTGTTGCTCATTATTTACAATCCTGATTTTAGAGTTTTAAAATACTGGTAGCCAAATTTTGCTCATTTTCATGGTTTCCTCCTTTCTGTAGAAATGGTCCACATGCTTCTTGTGGATTTTAGTGGCTTCACTGTGTAGTCTGACATGGTGGTTGTTGCAGTGGTCCAACATTTCTGTGTTCTCAAATAATATGCTGTGTCCAGGTTGGTTCATCAGGTCAAAAAACAAACAAACAAAAAACAGGAGAATTCCTGACAGGGAACAATCAAGGCCAGCTCATACCTCCCAACAAAGGATTCCCTCAGGCAGGAAGCAGCCAGGCTTTGAACATGCAAGGCCATTAAATTTTTAAATAGTGTCAGTAGCAATTTGAGAAACTGCAAGTCCCTTCTGGTGTGAGAGAATAGGCTGTATGCAGAGATGTTGCCCAGGGGACGCCTGGATGTGTTACCATCCTGTGGGAGGCTTCTCTCATGTCCCAGCATGGGAAGCTGGGACTGACAGATGGAAGCTCACCCCATTTTGCAGATTCAAACTGCCAACCTTCAGATCCAGCAGTTCAGCCAGCAGAAGGGTTTCACTCATTGTGCCACCATGGCTCTAGGTGGCCAATTGCAACATTCGCACTTGCCTCAAGCAGACAAGAGTTCTTTCTCCCACCCTGGATATTATTTCACCGATATATAAATCTCAGTTTCCAACAGATCTCACAACCTCTGAGGATGCCTGCCGTAGATGTGGGCAAAATGTCAGGAGAGAATGCTTCTGAAACATGGCCAGACAGCCCAGAAAACTCATAGCAACTCAGTAATTCCAGCCATGAAAGCCTTCAACAACACATAATCAGAATAGGTTGCACACCTATATAACAGAAACCCTTCCATTTCCTCAACAGGTGGATTTATTCTCTTCCTCATTAAGGCACGGATGCAAATGCAGTTGTAATGAGTTCTCCTTACCTGTCCAAGGTGCACCTGCAGCCATGCAACGTGCAAAATACAATGCCACATTTGTCCCAAGAGTCACAATGTAAAAGATCTTGTTGTCCGGGGATGCTGAGAGTTGTAGTCCCCTCCAAAAAGCAACATAGAACACAACTCCGAATCTGGCATGGCATTGCACTCTGAACACAGAAAAACAAAAGGGGATGTGGCTTTTGCGAAACAAAGCCAAAGAAAGCTGATTCTGCAATGTGCGCATCATGCGCAGAGAGAAAGAGCGTTGGGCTGAATGTTTTTAAGGCCGAATCGGCCAAACAGGATGGAAACCTCTGGATTTTCCCATTTTGCACAAGGGTCAGATGACTTCTCCCTGCCCTTTCGTTTCAGTTGCTGCAAGGAAAGCCGCTGCAGCCCCTTCTTGGTGCAAGAAATGCAAAAAAAAAAAAATGAATGAAAAGGAAAAGCTGCTTTGAAGTGCTTTTGAAATGCTATGATAGGCATCCTCTGCCTGCCATAGATGCAGGCAAAACGTCAGGAGAGAATGCTTCTGGAACATGGCCATGGAAAGAACACAACCCAGTTATACCAGTACCCATACTTGAACACTAGTGTGTCCCAACACACAGTTGGGAAAGCTCTGATCTAGAACAACAGAGAACGAACTTGCCCCCAACTCAATGTGGCATCCTTTCACGTATCAAAACAGGACTCTCAGGTCCCTTTTGCAGAGTTACAATTCCCATAATCCCCCCCAGCAAGCCAATAAAGCATGTATTCTGATTCCGGCCCAGTTTTCCTACCTACAGAAAGCAAGGCCAGCTTGGATATGCTCATTCGACAGATGGGAAGACTGATCTCTTTGCAATTTCACTGCTGAGGAAAAGCTCCAAGGAAGCAGCTCCCAAGTCCAATACTATCAAGATTTAGACTCCAGGGTTCTAGACTCCCATGTTCTAGACCAGGGGTCCTCAAACTATGGCCCGGGGGCCGGATATGGCCCTCCAAGGTCATTTACCCGGCCCTCACTCAGGGTCAACCTGAGTCTGAAATGACTTGAAAGCACACAACAACAACAACAACAACAACAACAACAACAACATTATTATCTCATCAACTAAAAGCAGGCCCACACTTCCCATTGAAATACTAATAAGTTTATATTTGTTAAAATTGTTTATTTTAATTATTGTATTGTTTTAAAGTGTTTTTTGCACTACAAATAAGATATGTGCAGTGTGCATACGAATTCATTCATTTTTTTCCAAATTATAATCCGGCCCTCCAACAGTTTGAGGGACTGTGACCTAGCCCTCTGTTTAAAAAGTTTGAGGATCCCTGTTCTAGACTCACAAGTTAAATACTCTCTGGTTCTAGAGTCCCAAGTTCTCAGTTTCTGTTCAGAATCCTTGGTGCCTGTTTTAGCCACCTACCTTCCCAATTGCAAGAAAACGTTCTGTTATGACACGGATCTCGAATGCATCTGCAAGAACCTGCTGGATTTTGCGCTTCCGAGGCTTCCAACGCCTTTTACTCCTATTTTTTAATCTCCAGAGGCGCACAGGATGCCTGCCTGCATGTACATGAAGTTTTTCCAAAACATACACACAGGGCCACACCTACAAAAGAAGGTGCTGCTTTCTCTCTGCAGCAGCCCTGAGATTGTCTTGTTCCTGCATTGTCTAAGGCAGGAGGAATGCACCGGGCCCAGGCCACTTTTGGCCCTCTTTCTGCTCACAAAGTGTCCTTTGCAAAATGCAAAACATGGAGTGGCACCTGCTCCCAGGAGAACCCAGCTATTTCTGGGCCAGCGCTTGGCCACGTTAATGAGTAACCTTTTTAATGACTCCACCGGCAGGACGCTGAAAGAGATCGTTCACCCATAAAAACTGAGCACGATACCAGGCTGGGCGGCGATCCGATAAAGACCAAGGATTCATTGTGATTTGCAACGTCTGTACGTCACATTATGTTTTGGACTCCATGCTGATTGGAGAGAGGGGAATAACAACAACAACAACAAAGACTCTGGCACAAGCCAGTAAAGGTGATCCCAGTGGTGATCGGCACACTGGGTACAATGCCTAAAGACCTTGGCCTGCACTTAAAAACAATCGATGCTGACAAACTCACTACCTGTCAGCTGCAAAAGGCCACACTACTTGGATCTGCTCACATTATTCACTGATACATCACACAGTCCTAAACACTTGGGAAGTGTCCAATACAATAACCATTATAGTGATCTTGTTTGCTGTGTACTAATCTTGCTGTGTATTAAATAACAACAACAATTCAGCATGAACATCTTCATCCCTTTGGGTTCTCCGTCTACCAGCTTGGAAGATTTTTAACAATTTCACCGGATGAAGAAGCCTGTGCAGATTTGAAAGCTTGCAGTGTGTTTTGGGAATTGTTGGTTGTTTGGGCATTGTTGGTTGGCCCAATAGTTGTATCACACATTGTTGAATATGGGGCATTATTCTATTTTCCTGTTTGGTATGCTTTGATGGCCTTTGGGGGCCTCTTTATTATTATTTGAAACACAACAATATGAGTCCACAGCAGACAAGATCACTCTGCTGGCTGTTGTATTGGATCATATGTCTGACACTTCCCCAGTGTCTAGGACTGTGTGATGAATTAGTGAATAATGTGTGCAGATCCCAGTAAGGTGGCCTTCTGCAGCTAGCAGATGGTAATCTTGTCAGCCCCGATTGTGTTTAAGTGCAGGCCAAGGTCTTTAGGCACTGCACCCAGTGTGCCGATCACCACTGGAACCACCTTGGCTGGCTTGTGCCAGAGTCTTGGCAGTTCAGTCGTTAAATCCTTGTATCGTGTCAGCTTTTCCAGTTGTTTCTCTTCAATCCTGCTGTCACCTGGGTTTGCAACATCGACGATCCATACTTTGTTTTTTAACATGATCGTGAGGTCAGGATAATTGTATTAATATTGTTGTTGTTGTTGTTGTTGTTGTTGTTGTTATTAAGCAGGGGCTGGATTGTTATCTGTCTGGGATGCTTTGATTGCGCTTTTCCTGGATGGGAAAGGGGGTTGGCTTGGATGGCCTTTGGAGGGCATGTTCCAACTCTATGACTCTAAGAAAACCCCAAGCACAAGTCCTACATTTTAAACCCTCTCCAAGGACAGCCCATGAATATGCAATGCGTGATGTAAGTGGACCAAATGGAGGCAGAAAGACGGAGGGCAGGCTGGCATTGGCCAACCTATTCCTTCCTGACCATGAGAAGGACCTAAAGGAATAGTCTTCCTCTCTTCTGCTTGCCCTGCAGCATTGCAGCGAGTGTTTCTGAGACACCGTGCCTTGGCACGTCCTTGCAACACGGCATGCTTGGCCCTCTTAAATCATCACTTTTGCAACTGTTGCTGCAAATACATTTTATTCCCTTCCGGCCGGAGGGAGAGGCAATTTTATTTGCAGAAGCCAAGGCAAAAAACGGCCTCCTTGGCCCTTTCCCCTGGTTTTTGGGTGAGGCCGAGGCAGCCCTTCTGAACCAGGCGCAAAACCAGCCTTTCCAGTCCACGCACAGAGGCGCCTTGTTCCGCAGGGCACTTAAGTTTTGCAGCACTTCCTATGACTATATAACATTTGAATAATGTTCTGTCTCTGGCTTGAAAGTGTGATTTCTTGTTTAATTATCCCGTCCTTACTATGAAATAAGTTGATCTACTCCAGAAACTTGTGTTTAAATAATAATAATAATAATAATAATAATAATAATAATAATAATAATAATAATAATAGGGTTGTTGTAGGGTTTTTTTGGACTATATGACCATGTTCTAGAGGCATTTCTCCTGACGTTTCGCCTGCATCTATGGCAAGCATCTTCAGAGATAGTGAGGATGCTTGCCATAGATACAGGTGAAACGTCAGGAGAAATGCCTCTAGAACATGGCCATATAGCCCAAAAAACCCTACAACAACCCAGTGATTCCGGTCACGAAAGCCTTCGACAATACAACAACAACAACAACAACAATAGTAGTAGTAGTATTGTGATCCAATACAACAGCCAGCAGAATGTCTGCTGTGGACTCATCTTGTTGTGTTTCAAATAATAATAATAATAATAATAATAATAATAATAATAATAATAATATTGTAATCCAATACAACAGCCAGCAGAGTGTCTGCTGTGGACTCATCTTGCTGTGTTTCAAATAATAATAATAATAATAATAATAATAATAATAATAATAATAATATCATAGATGGACTCTGAGGCAGAGAGTTCCACTGTTGAACAGCTCTAAGAAGTTCTTCCTAATGTTCAAGTGGAATCTCCTTTCCCGTCATTTGAATCCATGGATCCATTGAGTCCTAGCCACCAGGGCCATGGAATCATAGGAAGTGTAACCAGTAGGCATAGGCAATTTCGTTCGGAAGTTGCGGATATCAGAACTAAAGTTGGATGCTTCACACTTCCAAACTGTGTTCTGACATGCAATGGCGAGTTGGAAGTCCCCTATAGTTCTGAAGCAACCCGGGCCAATAATTTCAATGGTTCGGAAGTCGATTCGGAAATATGAGAAAGCCTTTTTGATGCAAGTAAGCCTGCTAGGAGCCACAGCCTAAAGTGGTTGCCTCCCAGCTGTGCATGCATTAATTGATTCGGAAGTTTTGGAAAGTTTTGAATTTTTTTTTTTGGAAAAATTTGGAAGTGACTTTAGAATAGAATCACCAGCGCCCCCTACTTTTGAACACAGTTTAGAACAATTTTTTTTATTGTCCATGGCGAGTAGCCAGCACTTCTTTGGCAGTGAAGATTGAAGTCCTTGACAAACTACAACACCCACGACTCCTATTGTAGTTCTTCTGGGAAGGCATCTACACTGAAGTACGACTGAATGGCTTGAAATGCCAACTCAATGCGATGGAAATCTTTGGCAGAGATGGTCAAAACACTTGTAAGACCGCAACTCATTGCATTGAGTCGGTGTCGAGCTGTATTCGTCCAACAGTGTAGATGCACCTTTAGAAAAGGAGGTTAAAAGGAGCCAAAAGGAAGGAGTTGTTTGGCCTTGCAAACACAAAGCATTGACCTCTGAAAGCGCCCGGGCCTTGCGTGGAAACCGGGAGGCCCGCCTTTGTTGTCATTGCTGTTTGGTTTCACGCTGTTCTCGTTTGGCAACTTGCAAGAGGTTAGAAAATATTCCCTGGGGCCTTTTTTTTTTTTTTACGATGGATATAGGTTTCCAGTTTTGCCGGTTCCTCCAAGGACATCCTGACTTTGTGGCCTCGAAGAGGTGCAGGTGAGGTGCATCTACACTGCAGAATTAAAGCGATTTAGCACCAGCTCCAACCCTCAATGTGATGAGATGGTGGGAGATGCAGAAGAGGCTTCAGGACCCTGGTGAAATCTGAAGCACAAGGTGACACTTGTAAAGGTATTTGTGCCCTAATAAAAGGATTGCATCACCTCCCTGTGCATTTTGGCACAGTCAAAGCCCTCCCGACAGATAGCCATCCAGCCATTCAACAGCCTCCAAAGGAGACACCACTGGCTTGTCAGGCAGTTTGTACCTCATTCGTGTTAGAAGATCCGCTCAAAAGGCATCTAGTCCAACCCACTTCAGCCATGGAGGAAACAATACATTCCCTCCCCACAGATGGCCATCCAGCTACTGTTTAAGAGCCTTCAAAGAAGGAGACGCCACTGGCCACTCGGGCATTAGAAGGTATGCCCAAAGGGCATCTAGTCCAACCCCCTTCAGCCATGAAGGGGGACACAAGACGATCCCTCCCAACAGATGGCCATCCAACCTCTGTTTAAAAGCCTCAGAGAGGTTTAATCAGTACAGTAGGGTGGGCTATAAATAATAATAATAATAATAATAATAATAATAATAATAATAATAATAATAATAAATTTCCCCTTGATTTAAGTTATACCAAAGAGCAATTGCACCATCACATCCAGTATGGAAGCCATGAAGGGAGGCACAAGATGATCCCTCCCAACCGATGGCCATCCAGCCTCTGTTTAAAAGCCTCAGAGAGGTTTAATCAGTACAGTAGGGTGGGTTATAAATAATAATAATAATAATAATAATAATAATAATAATAATAATAATAATAATATTTTCCCTTGATTTAAGTCATACCAAAGAGCAATTGCACCATCACATCCAGTATGCAAGGGGTGGCCTGTGGCTAGTGACTGGTTGGACTAGATGGCCTTTGGGGTTCCCTCCCATTCTTAGCATTCCACTTGGTTGCTTGCACATGGGAAGGAAACCTTATTTTAAAATTGCACTCTTTTTGGTTTCTTGTTATCATTTCTTTCTGTTTCCCCCTTGTATCATATCCTCCTAATTGCTAAATAACCCGTACATTCATAACAATATTGCACAATGTGGATGAAGGTTTACCGGTTCCAAGTGGTGCAAGCTGTCTTTTGGAAGGTGGTTTCCGCAAAGGTTTCTTCCCGTTCAACACAGATCCGGTGAAGCCGTTTCAATGCCTAATTTGAAGGCTACCATATACCCAATCGCATTGTTAGACCCTCAGGTGCATCTACACTGTAGGTTTAATACAGTTTGATGGCAGTTGAACTGCTGTGGCACAATGCAATCAAGTACGTAGTTGCTTTGCAAGGTCTTCAGCCTTCAACCAACCAGCGCCTCCGTTATCAGTCGGATCTCAAAACACTTAATCAGGTTTTCCTTTCGCAATACCCATATTTCCTCGAGTCTCATGCACCATTGAATCCTGCGCATGTTATTCATTAGCAGTTAATAATATATTAAACTATAATTCCTAGCACTCCTCATCATCGGTTGTGCAGCCCAAGGTTGCTGGGAGATGCAGTCCAAGTACTCCGAGACAGATGGAAGTAAAACGCTGTGAAAAGATTTTTGAGGAGGCAAAATAAGAAGCGTGAATTGTCAGATGGCTTCATTCACAGCTTCAATGTCAAGTGTTCAACCCACTCTAGGCTTTAGCAGTATAATCCCAAGTCACTGCGGTTATTTGGGAATAAAAGTCACACCACCCCAATATGTTGCTGGGTTGCAATTCCCAGCAGCCCCATCACCGGGCAGTGGAGGATGTTGAGGATTGTATTCCGACATCCAGATAAGCACATGGTAACCCACCAAAGCAGCAGACTGCTGTGTTATTTTGGCAGCAGAGATGGAAACGCTCCAAGATAGAAGGGAATCTCCCGAAACAATAAGGAATTCACTGTGTGCCTTGAAGGGCAATCAAGACACCAAAACGCAGGCTGTGTAGGCTTGTGTCCCTCACCCTTTCTGATCTCTGACCGATGGTATACCAGCCCATCATTTCAAGTTCAGATGAGATTGCCCAGAGCCCAATTGGCTAGCCATACTGGCAACTTTAGTGGCTTGACTAGAGATAGGAAAAATAAAATTACCAGCCAAAACAAAGTTTAGACCAAGTCTGAGGCTGGATGGCCATCTGTCAGGGGTGTTTGAATGTGATTATCCTGCTTCTTGTCAAGGGGTTGGACTGAATGGCCCATGAGGTCTCTTCCAACTCTATGATTCTGAGAGAACAAAGGAAAAGTTCACTGCTCAAAAGTTCTGGCTGTAAAACTAAACTGCACATTAATTCAATGTGGCACTCTCCACCCAGCAGGGTGACTTGATCAACTAAACCTGTTGAATGCTCTCATTGGCTCCCAGAGTTTGGCTGGATAAAAAACTTTGAATGTTTAGGGGCTAATTAATAAGCGAGCCCCAATAATATTATCTGAGCCGGTTTCTTTTCCTCCTTGAATTTAATACAACGGCCTCTGGATGGGGCTGAAAATAAGTCCCATCATCCACCACCTTTGAGGATATTAGGACCTGTAGCCCCAGAACTACATCATTCTTGTGTCTATCATTTGGGCAATTCAGTGGAGAGAAAAAGCGGGGTATAAATAAACACATTAATTATAATCATACATAGATACATACACAGCTGACAATGTAAGATTAAAAACGTTTTATTTTACAATTTTTATAAAGCAGCTTTACACGAAGCACAAAGCTTTAATTCTTTTTATATATATAGATTTGTATTTATTTATATGTATATATATAAACATAACAGGGCGTTTCCCGCTGCAAAAAAAGGTCACGTCTCGCTGTATAGAAAACTAACCTGTGCACATTGTGCTTAAACCCACAGAGTCTGTACAGCTTTACAAAGGACTTTTTTCCCGCCCTTCAAAGGGGCAAATCCTGTAAACAATTTATTGCATATTTAACACATGGAGTCAATCCCACATGTAGACAAGCAAAGAGGGGGAAAGGAAATCAAAACAACAACGACGAGCAGAAAAAAGGATGATTGCAAAGTGGATGAAAAAGAGCAGCATTGCATGAGTCTCTTATGGACGGCGAAGGTTGTGCTTGTGAGGTCTTGGATGGCACCTTCCATCATGCACTATGTTTCCCAGGAGCAAGCACTTTGCACAAGCATGCAAAGACACGAAGCCGAGGATCTGTCTCACAATCAGCCTTCATGTTTTTGCATCTCTCAAAAAACCATCTAGAAAAACAACTAACTGACTACAACATGTTGGAAATAAATACAACACATTGCTTCCCATTTGCCTTCTGACTGCAGCCGAAATCCCCGCACAAGAAAGGAGGGAGAGGGTCAATGTGGAGACCCAAGATGGACAAACTGCGGACTCCGTAAATATCTTTTTTTTAAAATCCAAAACATGGGATCACAGTTGGATCCTAATGACACTTGAGCCATGCTTTCCCCAAGCCAGTTTGCCTTCCTTCAACTCTTAACAGAGACCGTGCCATAAAGACGCCATGCCCAAAAACGACCAGAGACGGCAGATCTAAAGTGTGCCCCAAATGGTATATTTTGGGCATAAGAATGAAATGGAAACCTTGCACTGACTTGAGAAAGGGTTTTCAGCACCCTCTGATCCCAGTTTCCCTTTGGGACCCATTTCAATTATGGTTGCAACGGCAAATATGGGATCTGATGCATTGCTAGCAAGCCAAGAGTCAACCCATGGCTGGCTGCACCTTTCAAGTTGCTTTGGCCCTGGACTGATCAGACGGATGGGGAAACCTTTCCATCCAGAACAATCAATGCTGCTGTTGCCATTTCCTTCCTTACCGCAGGAGAAAGCTATGGCCACATGGTTAAGGCACAAACAGGTCGCTAAAGCAGTGCTTGCCCCCAATGAAACATGGCCAAAAGTTATAGATCCCCGTTCTGCACATTTTCTTTCTCCAAATCTGGATGGCCATACCATGCCCAAGGAGGAAGAGAACTCACCCTCTGTTGCCAACTCTCTTTTCCTTTTGACATAGTGCGCCAAAAGACCCAAGAGCCACACATGCCTTCTTTCCTGACATTTAGCCACAGTAGACTGTCCAGCTCAAGCACCAAAGGAGAAAAGGCCAGAGCAGAAGAGATGGCTGTTAACCATCTCTTCTAGCATTTGAAGCCATCCCGACTCTTTCCATCCAAGCATCACACAAGATCTAGAGATTGCATACTTCTTAGCTGACCCTCTAGCCATGTCTCATAAGCAGACAACGCACACCACCCAGATGCATTTGGTATCGCCATTCCCAACATCTCCCAGTCAATGTGCATTCAACGGCCAGGAATAATGGGAGTTGAAGTCCCAACAACATCTGGAAGGCAATGCCAATCCTCGATGCACCAAATTGCTCAAGAGAAACATCTTTGTATTATTTCAGAAGGAGGCTTCTTGAAGAGATCCATGCCTAGATCTCTGGAAATTCCCCAGGAAGTCAAAGAGTATGAAAGTGCTGTATTTAGTGCCCAGGGAATTCAAGGCTTTTCCAAAAGCAAGCACCGTTATTGTCAAGGTATGGAAGCGTGACTGTGCCCTGACTTTTCCTGCCTTTGAACAACTGCAAAAATCTCCCTCCAAAGCCTTCCTGAATGCAAATAGGCAACGTTCTCTCCTATGATTTCTTTCCACTTTTTGTTCCATTTCTACTTTTCTCCCCATTTCTCATTACTTTTTATTTCCATTTCTCCCCCCAAATAATAAAGAAATGCCATTTCTTGTCACCAATTTCAAGGAGAAATGGAGGGGAAAGTCAAGATGGCATACTTTAGATGGCAATGTGGGAAATGGGCTCTACTCTCATCTTAAAACTCTTGTGCCAATGTGTTAGCACCAGAGTTTGTTGGCATGTTGTTTTGTGCCCCTTCGTACCGTAGAAACATGTAGTATCATCCCAGACTTGCCTGGGAAATGCGCATTTGCCAAAGAGGGAGATAAAAGAACGGGGGAAGATTTGGAAGCACCCCAAAAGGTGCTTATCGCAATCCTACGAATAAGTGGGCAGAAAGGAATCGAATGCCCAAAAGGCTTTCTGGATGTCACTCAGGAGTTTGCCAACAGATGATGGATGGATTTGGGGGTTTTCATGCAGGGAGGGAAAAGGGGGAAAGAAATATCGCTACAGAAAGCTGTGCCTGGTTTGGTCAGAAGGCATCTTGGACTTGAGATGCAAAGCTCACCAAATTATAATAGACAAAGTTCCCCAGGAAACTTGTTTGGGAAGATTTCGGCCCATCTCAGTGGCAAATGCATCTATAGGAATAAGGGCAAGGCTCTCTTGTTATTATGGCTGATCCATTTGCTTCCGTGAAGACTGTATCTCTCAAGGTGTCGGCTTCTCAGGAACCAGGAGGAAATTTGCCATATTGGAGATGTTTATTTTGTAGCAGAAGAAATGGAAATAAATAATGTGTTGTTGTGAGTTTTCCAGGCTGTATGGCCATGGTCCAGAAGCATTCTCTCCTAACGTTTCGCCTGCATCTATAGCAGGCATCCTCAGAAGGTTGTGAGGTCATTCTGCTCCTCCTCACAACAAACCTCACAACCTCTGAGGATGCCTGCCACAGATGCAGGTGAAACGTCAGGAGAGCATGCTTCTGGAACATGGCCATACAGCCTGGAAAACTCACAATCACTCAGTGATTCCGGCCATGAAAGCCTTCGACAATACAGAAATCATGCGGTTCAAAACAGCTGCAGGACCAAAGTTACAAAAGCCTGGCAGTCACTGAATTGTAGTGAGCAGCTTCACAGACCAGATTCCTTTGCCAAATTGAAATAAATCACAAACATAAAAGACAATCATTCACCGAAGAGGAGCTTCATGAACAAGAGGAGCTGTAGAAAAGAGGTTCAGTTGGAGCTCCTTCTGCAAACTGAGGTGATTTGCACTTACTTTCAGAAAGTACCGAGGATGCAAAAGTGCCACCCAAATCTCCCAAAAAAACAGAAAAATACAAAACAGCTTAATACAAAGGGTTAGTGTTGAACGTAAAAGTGTGAGATGGTAGAACCAGGTTGGCTCTGTTTTTGTGCAGTCAGCTGGTCCCATTCCTTGTTGTGCTTAAAGAACGAAAATATCCCAACAGACCAAATTTTCCAGCATACGGAATCTTAAACCAAACACCTCTGAACAATCCCCCAAAGGGGGAAATATATATATATATGTATGTATATACTTAGGAAAAACAGACACCCTGCACTCTCTGGGTGAAAAGTAAACAGGCTTCTGTCATGAGACCACTTAGTGTTAAAAATATTGGCTCAAAGGAATGGGAATAATATTATTTTCTCTTTTTTTCTTGTTGTTTTCCCAAACCCACTGTTGTACCCGAAAAACGATGGTTTCTGTAGTATTCTTTGCCCTAAAAAAGACAAACAACAAAAACACAAGAGAAAAGGCTGTCTGAAGTAGACACGTAATAATGCACAAGTGTTATGACGAACCATTGTGAAGAAGTAAACAAGTGTACAAAAGTTGGGATTCGGTCGCATTGGACGCCCACTTTGTAAAAGTACCTCGAATGCGACAAAAAGGGGGCTGAGCGACTGTGAGGAGGGTCTAATGTCCTCTCCAGGATGCATTCCAGGGCCCAATCTCCCCATTTTCCTCCTGCAATCACTCTCAAAATGACAACAGGGTGTCACTTCCTTTTGCCATTCGGAGAGAAGCAGCAGCAGAAAATTTGAGATGTTTTGGGGCAGCAAAAAGTTCTGCTATTTTTGTGAGAGGGTGAGGGTATATCTTCCCGTGTTTTCTCAAGTGTGAGAGGGTGATTTTGGCAAAAACTGCCACCCAAATCATACTAATTTAAAATAAAAATAAGGAGGGAAAATGAGACAAGTTTAGGGGGCTGGTAGAGGCTCCATGGGCCACAGATCCAGGAGCCACATGAAGCCCCTCCATTGTCCTTCCTTGCCCTAAAGTAGTGCTGTCCAGCCTGTGCTTCTCCAGGTGTTTAGGACTCCAACTCCCAGAAGCCCCTATTGCCAGTTTGACCAGGAATTATGGGAGCTGAAGTCCAAAACACTTGGAGGACCAAAGATTGAACACTACTGATCTAATGGATTAAACCACTGGAATGCAATAGTTCAAAACTACGATTCCCAAATGTTAGCTCTGCAAGTGTTTTGGACTTCAGTTGGTCAAGGATTAGGGATTCTGGGAGTTGAAGTCCAAAATACTCAGAAGAGCAGAGTTTGGGAAACACTGGAAAATAATGGTTTCAAGCAGACCTCTTCAACCTGCGGACCTCCAGGCATTTGGGTCTTTGACTCCCAGAAGCTTCTATTGCCATTTTGACCAGGAATTCTGGGAGCTAAAGTCCAAAACACTTGGAGGACTAAAGGTTGTACACTACTGACCTAACAGATTAAACCACTGGAATGCAGTAGTTCAAAATAGTGATTCCCAAATGTTAGTCCTACAAGTGTTTTGGTCTTCAATTAGCCAAAGATTGGGAATTCTGGGAGCTGAAGTCCAAAATACTCAGAAGAGCATAGTTTGGGAAACAGAAAAATAATGGTTTCAAGCAGACCTCTTCAACCTGCTTCCTCCAGGCGTTTGGGCCTCTGACCCCCAGAAGCCCCTAATGCCAGTTTGTCCAATGGTAGGGAATTCTGGGATCTGAAGTCCAAAACACATGGAGGGTGACAGCTTGCACAGGCCTGGTTTTAAGGATCACTTTATAATTATACTTTTGAAGAGTCTCTGTTATAAAAAAATAATCACACAAACGGAACGCACACGCACGGAGTTGTTGGACACCACTTCGACGCTCTGCGCCACAACGGGGGACAAGAAATCCCCTTGTTTTTTTGGAGGGGTTTCCGGCTCAGTTGTGCTTGGCCCGCCCGCCACGCAGGTAGCCCTTCCAGCGTTTGACGAACTCCTTGAAGACAGGGCTGTCATCGACGGTGCTGAGCAGCTGGAGCTGGTTGATGTGGGTGGTGTGGTAGTCCCAGCGGGCCAAGTTGGGGGCCGACCCCAGCATGAAGTGCCGCAGGTCGTAGATGGTGCCGGAGCCGGTGTCGTACAGCGGGAGCATGGCCTTCAGGGACTCCATGCCGCGCTCATAAAGCAGCCGGGCCTCCCTGCCCAGCTTCTCCCCAGCCGTCTCCTTTAGGTCGTACAAGCCAATCAGGGAGTACATGAAGCCGTTCAGCACAAATGAGCTGGGCGATGTGGGGTACTCTTCGTACCAGTCGTGCTTGTTCATGAAGACGGCCTTCACTCCGCGCTGCTCCGAGGGGAGCTTGTACGGAGCTGTCGCCCTCAGAGCCGCCGCGAGGAAAGTGTGGTCTTTGGTCAAGAGGTAAGCCCTCACTAAAGTGGAAATGGCCTGCCCTTGAGCCATGGCTGAGTACCAACCCGGATCCAGAGACTTGAACCCTTCTCCCAGCTTCCGGGTCACCATGATGGGCCAGCCGCCCTTCTCGTCCTGGTTCCGGACCAGCCAGTCGCTGGCAGCAAAAAAGGCGGCCATGTGGGCGGTGGAGGAGATGGTGACGTTGTCAATAAAGCCCTTGCCCCGCACCACCAGCCGCACCACCTTCTTGGGCATGATCTTGGTCTGCTTGACCGCCTTGGTGTGGGAGAGGCCCACCCCTTTGCGCAGGTCCGTCACCAGGTCCCGGGTGACGGTGCTCCAGCTGGTCCGGGGACCAATCCCGTAGGAGACGTCCCGGTCCTTGAAGGAGATAAGGTGGGTGTCTGAGACGTAATGCACTGTGAAGGGTGGGCCTTTCTCCGTCGTCTCCAGGACCACCGAAATACTCCCATTGGCCACGAAGCGGAGGTCAAAGGAGAGGATGAAGTCCCGCGCGTTGCCCAGCGGCAGCCAGGCGCCCTCCGAGTTTTCTGAAAGACAACAACAAGAAAAAAACAACATAGCACCAGTGAGGAAGGAATGGAAGACATCTTAGGGCCATTTGGCAAAACCAAGCATATAAACCAGGCATGGGCAAACTTTGGCATTTCTTCCAGATGTTTTGGACTTCAACACCCACAATTCCTAACTAACAGCTAGTAGACTGTTAGGAATTGTGGGAGTTCGAGTCCAAAACACCTGGAGGGAATGCCAAAGTTTGCCCATGCCTAGTCTAGGCTCATTCATAGGCAACACTCAGAGAAAATACTTTTAAAATGATGCCTAGTTTTAAAAGTGTATTTATTATATTTTAATCTATTTAATATCACACTGTACTATTTAATTGTACATTTTCCAAACTTTTGTATTCAGCTTTTTAAACTATGACTCAAGTGCGTGATTGTGAGCTGCCTTGAGTCCCCATAGAGGGAAAGTTAGTAATAACTTAATAATTATTAAATAAAGTTAATAATAATAATACTATGTTAAAAACACTATGTTAAAAAGCAAAGTATGGATTGTCAATGTTGCAATCCCAGGTGACAGCAGGATTGAAGAGAAACAACTGGAAAAGCTGATACGATATGAGGATTTAAAGATCAAACTGCAAAGACTCTGGCACAAGCCAGTCAAGGTGGGCCAATGATGATCGGCACACTGGGTGCAGTGCCTAAAGACTTTGGCCTGCACTTAAACACAATCGGCGCTGACAAAATTACCATCTGCCAGCTGCAAAAGGCCACCTTACTGGGATCTGCATGCATTATTTACCACTACATCACCCAGTCCTAGAAACTTGGGAAGTGTCCGACGCGTGATCCAATGCAACAGCCAGCAGAGTGATCTTGTCTGCTGTGAATTCATCTTGTTGTGTTTCAAATAATAATAATAGTATGTAATGCAATTTTTGTTCCTGGGTTATAAATGTCTTTTCCTAATTGGTTCTATCATAAAAACATGGAAAAAGTTGATTAAACTGCAAAAAGCTTTGTTTTTGTGGAACATCCTGCAACACATTTTTGCTCTAGTGTTTCAATGAATATCTCATAGAGTCTCAATCATTTCAACATAGTTTGTGGCAGCCCAAAAACAAAGTTTTTGGAGTATAACAATTACTTTAGGATCTTATTTCTGTGGAAACATTTGAGGGTTTTAGAAGCAATTAAGTGAACAACATCTCCACCTTCTGGCTCTGGGGCATGTTTTACCACAGGTTCCTTAGGTGCCCTTCTTTGGGAAGAAGCCATGATTTCAGCTTCTTTCTTTTTTATCAGATGCACAGAAACACTGGAGGAAACACCTTTTTTTTTCACTGCAAGTTTTTAAAAATGCTTTGTATGGACGTCATAGCATCCCAGAGAATGAAAAGTGCCCCCTTCACTGCAGTCACTTACTATTACTACTACTACTACTACTACTACTACTACTACTATTAAGGGCCTGGTAGTGCATCAGGTAAAATTGCCGAGCTGCTGAACTTGCTGACCAAAAGGTTGGCAGTTCAAATCCAGGGAGTGGGGTGAGCTCCACTGTTAGCCCCAGTTTCTGTCAACCTAGCAGTTTGAAAACAAAGAGCCGGCGTTGTTCATAGATGCGTCCAAGGTCATGTGGCCAGCATGACTGCATCAAAAACCGTTACCTTCCCGCAGAAGAGATACCTATTGATCTACTCACATTTGTATGTTTATGAACTGCTAGGTTGGCAGAAGCTGGGGCTAACAGTGGGAGGTCAACCCGCTTCCCAGATTCAAACCTTCATCCTTTCAGTCAGCAAGCTCAGCAGTTCAGCAGTTTAACCCGCTGTACATTTTAAAATTTTGACTAACAATGTTAAAAAATTAATTTAAAACAGCAGAAGCAGTGGAAGTAGCAATCTTCCAGGGATTATAATGATAATACCACTGCATAATAATAATAATAATAATTATTATTATTATTATGCAAGTGCCTAAAAACCTTGGCCTGCACTTAAACACAATCAGTGCTGACAAGATTGCCATCAGCCAGCTTCAAAAGGCCACCTTACTGGGATCTGCTGTGGACTCATCTTGCTGTGTTTCTAATAATAATAATAATAATAATAATAATAATAATAATAATAATAATAGACCTCATGATTGTGTTAAAAAACAGAGTGTGGATCGTCGAAGTTGCAATCAATCCCAGGCAACAGGAGGATTGAAGAGAAACAACTGGAAAAGCTGACACAATACGAGGATTTAAAGATTGAACTGCAAAGACACTGGCACAAGCCAGTCAAGGTGGTCCCAGTGGTGATCGGCACACTGGATGCAGTGCCTAAAGACCTTGGCCTGCACTTAAACACAATCGGCACTGACAAGATTACCATCTGCCAGCTGCAAAAAGCCACCTTACTGGGATCTGCACGCATTATTCACTGATACATCAAAGGCTTTCATGGCCGGAATCACTGGGTTGTTGTATGTTTTTTCGGGCTATATGGCCATGTTCTAGAGGCATTCTCTCCTGACGTTTCGCCTGCATCTATGGCAAGCATCCTCAGAGGTTTGTTTGCTGTGGACTCATCTTGTTGTGTTTATAATAATAACAATAATAATAATCCCATTTATGCAGCAAATTCAGGTTGGCTCCAAGGTTGGGCAAAGTCAAGTTGCCTTTCAAATGCCTTTGGTCAGAATCCCATTAAGAGCTGCATACATTCTCCTTCCAAAACACTTGGGCCTTTTGGTCGGAGCCTTTTGCAGCCTCCACCTTAGAGACCCCCAGCATTTAGGCACTGGCTGAAATGACTCTGTTGCCTCTTAAAGTAATGGGCTCGTTAATTCTAATGGCTATTGATTAGTTGGGGGAAATACATTACGCCCTATTAATGAGGCTGTCTCCATTCAAAGGAGGGGAAATGTTGCCGATAGACATTTGTTTTGCCACAGGAGCAAAGGCCTCTCCTTTCCACGTGGGATGAAACACATGCCTCTAATGCGCACATATTTGCAGGCCCCTCTTGCATACATTGTTTTTATGTTTGAAAAGGAATAATTATACGAATCATAGAGTTGGAAGAGACCTCATGAGCCATCCAGTCCAACCCCATTCTGCCAAGAAGCAGGAAAATTGCATTCAAAGCACCCATGACAGATGGCCATCCAGTCTGTTTAAAAGCTTCCAAAGAAGGAGCCTCTACCACATTCTGGGGCAGGGAGTTCCACTGCTGAACAGCTCTCGCAGTCAGGAAGTTCTTCCTAATATTCACATGGAATCTCCTTTCTTATAGTTTGAATAATGGCCCTACGCTTGCCCTTACAATAAAGGTAGGGGGGCTTTTAACAGTGAGATGAAACCTTGTTATGCATCTATGCATAATAAGGTAAATAGTGGGGGACACAATACATTTCATGGTTTCTGTATTCGAGAGTGAAAATAAACATCTGGTAAATAAGCATCTTATATTGATCCTGGTATGCGCCGCAAGCCTTGAAACTTCTGCTTCTAATGTTGTGAATCTCTGGTCTTAATGTAAATAGTTTAAAATATATACAAAAACCACCTCTATTTGTAATGTTTTGAAGGTTTACACTCCTGGTCTGTGATCGTAATAATAACATCCGTTCATTCACATGGAAGCCCTTTATTAGCTCCATGTGCAAAAGCAACAGTGGATGGACTGGCTCATGTGAAAAAGATCATGGCCGACAACAACAACAACAACAACAACAACAACAAAACTTTATTTATATACCGCTCTATCTCCCCAAGGGGACTTAAAGCAGTTTCCAAATAACATAATCAATATATACAAGGAAAACAGCATAAACATAAAATTAACAAGACAATATAAGCATTTAAATCCACAATAGCACATGAGCCAACAATGGGATGTGGCAGCTTAAAAAGCCAATGGGATTTTGGCCTGCATCAATAGGAACCTATTGCCTAGATCCAGGAAAGTCAATGCTACCCATGCTCTATTCTGCCTTGGTCAGACCACACCTGGAATCACACTGTGTCCCATTCTGGGCACCACAATTGAAGGGAGATATTGAGTCTAAGATGGAAGGGCAACTCAAAGGATCAAGGGTGTGGAGAACAAGCCTTATGAGAAGCGGCTGAAAGAGCTGTCCATGTTTAGCCTGCAGAAGAGAAGACTGAGAGGAAACATGATGATGGCCATGTATCAATATGTGAGAAGAAGTCATAGGGAGGAGGGAACAAGCTTGTTTTGTGCTGCCTTGGAGACTAGGAAGCAATGGAACAATGGCTTCAAACTACAGGAAAGGAGGTTCCACCTGAACATCTGGAAGAACTTCCTAACTGTGAGAGCTGTTCAGGAGTGGAACTCTCTGCCCTGGGGTGTGGTGGAGGCTCCTTCTTTGGAGGCTTTTAAACAAAAGCAGGATGGTCATCTATCAGGGTGCTTTGAATGCGATTGAAGGCCCCTCCCCCCTCTGGCACCAACTGCTACTCTGGCCAGAGTGAAGACAGAGGGGAGCATAAGACATTTCCATCTTGTCTTTCCTAATAATATAATATAGTATATTGTATATACATATAATGTATTGTCGAAGGCTTTCATGGCCGGAATCACTGGGTTGTTGTAGGTTTTTTCGGGCTATATGGCCATGATCTAGAGGCATTCTCTCCTGACGTTTCGCCTGCATCTATGGCAAGCATCCTCAGAGGTAGTGAGGTCCGTTGGAACTAGGAAAAAGGGTTTATATATCTGTGGAATGACCAGGGTGGGACAAAGGACTCTTGCCTGCTGGAGCTAGGTGTGAATGTTTCAACTTACCACCTTGATTAATGGCTTGACAGTGCCTGGAGCAAACTGTTGTTGAGAGGTGATTAGATGTCCTTCTTTGTTTCCTCTCTGTTGTTGTGCTGTTGTAATTTTAGAGTTTTTTAATACTGGTAGCCAGATTTTGTTCATTTTCAAGGTTTCCTCCTTTCTGTTGAAATTGTCCACATGCTTGTGTATTTCATTGGCTTCTCTGTGTAGTCTGACATGGTGGTTGTGAGAGTGGTCCAGCATTTCTGTGTTCTCAAATAATATACATATAATATTTATAATATTATAATGTAATACAATATAATGCTAGTAATAATAATACAATATTATAATTACAATTATATATTTACATTGCATTTAATATTACTAATAATATTACAATATAATGGTATACTGCAATATAGTAATATATAATACTGATATTGTACTATGCTAATAATATAATATATTGTATGAAAATATATCTTGTAAGCCGCTCTGAGTCCCCTTCGGGGTGAGAAGGGCGGCATATAAATGCCGTAAATAAATAAATAATAAATTTTCTTGCTTCTTGGTAGAATGGAGTTGGACTGGGTGGCCACAAGGTCTCTTCCAACTCTAGGATTCTATGTAAACCACTAACTGTCCCGCACCTGTCCCAGAAAGGTTGCGGGTGAACAATTAGAAAACGTATTATCATAATTATATGTAAAAGTGAGCATTAGATTTGGGTAAATAGGGTCCTGGGATGGAAAGAGCGAAGCCATGGAGCTCAGACACACGAGAGCTAGCTTCCTGCATCCCCTCCCTGCGTAAGTCCACCCACCTGGGACCACGAAGTGCTTGACGTTGGTGAAGCGGGCCTTGTCCTGCACTGTTGTCACCGAGCTGCCCTTGGGCACGGTCCAGTCCCCCGCCCGTCCGCCCGGCTCCCGTTCCTCAGCCGTCTCGTAGACCACGATGTTCGGCGGCTTCTCCGTCAGGTTCTTGCTGTAGTGGCTGAGCCCGTACTGGGCAATCTGGATTGGGTAGAAGTAGCCCTGTGGGCCCCACTGCGTTGACAGCGGCACCCCTGGAAACAAAAGGAAGGCAAAAGGGAGGGTGGGTTAGGAAAACTCCCCCCAAAACTGCAGAGTATTTAGACATACTTAGAACTGATATGTCATCAGTTGGGCACCCCTCCCACAGCATCAACCGCTGCTCTGGGCCAGAGTAAAGAGAGAAAGGGCCAGGTAAGGGATGGCTAGTATAATATAATATAATATAATATAATATAATATAATATAATATAATATAATAATGTATATACATATAATATTTATAATATTATAATGTAATACAATACAATACTACTACTAATAATATATTATAATTATATATTTTATGTTACATGTAATATTACTAATAATATTACGATATAATGGCATAGTACAATATAATAATACATAATACTGATTTTGTACTATGCTAATAATATAATGTATTTTATGTATATATATCTTGTAAGCCGCTCTGAGCCCCCTTCGGGGTGAGAAGGACGCCATATAAATGTTGTAAATAAATAAATAAAGTACAATAACAATACTTAGTGTAGAGCATTCCACTCACAACAAGCAAAAGCAGTATAGTGTGGCTGTAAAGCAGGCATGGGTCAACTACCAGATGTTTTGGACTTCAACTCCCACAATTTCTAGCAGTTCGGCAGTGAAATATGCTGCCGGCAGAGTCTCCTTCTCTGGAGGCTTTTAAACAGAGGCTGGGTGGCCATCTGTTGGGGTGGATTGGATGGTGTCTTCCTTTATGACAGAAGGGGATTCGATAGATGGTCCTAGGGGTCTCTTCCAACTCTAGGATTCCAAATACTATGGGACTTTGGCACTGATTCGGGTTTGATTCCAGGATGACCACAGATATATCAAAATCCATGGAGTTTCAAGGCCCATTACATACAACGGCATCGTTAAGTGGCTTCACTTAGGTAAAATGGCAGGATGGAATATCCGTATTTACGACGTGATTAATAATAATAATAATAATAATAATAATAATAATAATAATAATAATACAATCGTGTTAAAAAACAAAGTATGGATTGCCAATGTTGCAATCCCAGGTGACAGCAGAATTGAAGAGAATCAAATGGAAAAGGTGACACGATATGAGGATTTAAAGATCGAACTGCAAAGACTCTGGCACAAGCCAGTAAAAGTGGTCCGAGTGGTGATCAGCACACTTGGTGCAGTGCCTTAAGACCTTGGCCTGTACTTAAACAAAATCGGTGCTGACAAAATTGCCATCTGCCAGCTGCAAAGGCCACCTTACTGGGATCTGCACGCATTATTTGCCGATACACCACACAGTCCTAAACACTTGGGACGTGTCTGACGTGTGATCCAATACAACAGCCAGCAGAGTGATCTTGTCTGCTGTGGACTCATTTTGTTGTGTTTCTAATAATAATAATAAATAGAGTAAAATAATAAATATAATAATAATAAGCCAGTAAAATAATAAATAATTTTGAATCGAATATAAGATGGCGGGGGGGGGGGGGGGGGGGGGGGGAGCTTTCTCAGCCTAAACAATGGACTGAAAATCTTATACTTGAGTATATATTGTAAATACAGTATAGATACTGATGCCTGAATTAATGTAATTTTATTGGTATCTATTTTTATTTTGGAATTGACCAGTAGCTGCTGCATTTCTCCCCCTCGGCTTACACTCGAGTCAATTCGTTTCCCCAGGTTTTTTTTGTGGTAGGGTGGCTGCATCTGTGAATGCACAGGAATGTGGAAGGTACCTTCAACACCGCTAATGCACTTGACCCGGTCCCGGACCTCCACGTTGTACCCCTCAAAGGACATGAAGACGCCATCCGGGTGGTAGGGGCCTCTCTGGGCGTAGACCTTAGAGTAGCTGTGCGAGAACTCGAAGCGGTCATAGCCGTCATACTGGGCGACCTTGCCGTACACGTCGAAGTACTTCTCCACCCAGGAGAAAGGCAGGAAGACCTCAGTGCCCTCCCGCCGGCCCTTGATAGTGTGCTCCTCATTGATCAGGCAGTCGATCTCCTCGTACTTGGGGCCTGGGGCCTTGTTTCCACGGAAGCCACCCCCTGCCACCACCGGCGGGGCCTTCTGCTGTTCCTGTGGGGAGGCCTCCTCGCTCTGTGGCCTGGCCGGGATGGGACCCCCATCACCCTCGCGCCCCGCATTGCTTTCCGAAGGGGCTGCCCGCTTCTCCGGACTCTCGACCCGGAAGCCGCCAACACCGCCGCGCAGGAAAGACCCCGCTTGACCGCTGGAGCACCGATTCCAGAGCAGGATTGTCACCAGGGTGAAAAGCACACAGATGACAATCAGGGTCTTGTAGTTGATGCGGGCCGCCAGGCAACGCATATTCACATCATACCTGGGGAAAAAAACACAAAGGGAAATCGCATCAGTAAACTAATGACAATGAGGATAAAGATGAGGAGACCCTGAAAAATAAATATTTTTCAACATTTCATGTCTTGCAAAATCGGACCACCTGTAATGAGATCTCCATCTTTTCATCCTGCCTTTCTACCTTACCAAACTAGACTGTCCATCGACAGTATGCCCAAAATAACACCAGTCACCTGATGATGATGTTAATTTTTAAAACATTTCCCAGACTCTCATCCCAATCCCCTTTTGTAACGCTATGTAAGAAAATTTGAAAAATGTTTTGTTCCTGGTTTGAAAGTATCATTTCCTGTTTAAATCTGCAGTCCTTTCTTTAAAAATCGTTGTTCTGCTCCAGAAAACTTCGTTTTTGTGGCTGCTGCCAACTAGGTTTTTGTGGCTGCCACCCACTAGGCCGGGCTTTAGCACAGCTGATTAATCACCAGCAGGAAAATATCACACCACTCGAAAAATTGGCAGTTCGAAGCCCAGGTCGAGGTGAATTCTATGAGATGTGAGGTATTGTTGTTGTTGTTATATTGTTGTTATTGATGCTGCAATGTGTATGAAACATTGAAAGCGAGGCGCTAGAATACTTTGTGTGGTAAAGACCCATTCTTTGATTTGAATTTTGGAAAGGGACTCTGGGAGATCAGGATTCAAATTTGATGGGCCGGGCTTTAGCACAGCTGGTTAATCACCAGCAGAAATAGATCACACCAATAGAAAGGTTGGCAATTCGAAGCCCAGCTTGGGATAAGCACCCAACCTTCAGCCCAGCTCACTGTCCACCTAAACAGTTCAAAAACAGCTGTGAGCTATGAGTATAGAAATTAAGCACAGCTTAAACAGAGAGATATTTTACGGCACCATAAAAAGAGCAAGTACCGGAAAATGCTGGCAACCAAAGAAAGGAGGAGGTCTGTGATCAAGAGCTCTTTGTCATAGAGGATGGAGCAACAGCACCCCCTGTGACCAGAATCAAGCACACCCTCCAGGATGCCCAAGTTGGGAAAAATGTCAACAGATACCTCTATCGGTTGTCTGTCCTGTCTGTTTGACGGCACTAAATGTTTGCCGTGTATGTTTTCTGTGATCCACCCTGAGTCCCCTTTGGGGTGAGAAAGGCGGAATATAAATGCTGTAAATAAATAATAAATAGGTTGAATTGGTTGATGAGATATTCATTGAAAAACTAGAGTGAAATGTAGTACAGCAGGATGTCCCTCCCACAAGCACAAGACTTTTTGTAGTTTAATAAACGTTTTCCATGTTTTTATGATAGAACTAATTAGGCAATAATAATAATAATGATAACACTTTATTTATATTGTGCCCTGTCTCCCCAAGAGGACTCAAGACAGATCACAGTACACATACATGGCAAACATTCAATGCCGTTTTGGATAGACAGGACAGAGACAAACAGAACAGAAAGGAGGTATGTTGCGTTGACGTCCAGCTTTTTGCCGCCTTGGAGGTTGTGCTCGAATCCAGCTACAGGGGGTGCTGTCGCTCCATGCTCTATGCCAAAGAGCCATCAGGATGTCCTCCTTCCTTCTGGTCGCTGGACGTTTTCTGATCTTTTTCTTTATGGTGTCATAAAATACCTCCTCTTGTTTTAGCGGTACCTAATTTCTCTACTTACAGCTCAAGCTGTTTTCAAACTCCTTAGGTCAACAGTAAGCTGGGCTGACAGTCAGGAGTTCATGCCGACTCGGGGCTTTGAACTGGCAACCTTTTGGTTGGTAGATCTTATCATTGCTGGTGATTTATTGAAGAGTTCTTGCAAAGACCCTGCATCTGTAATGAGATGTTCGCCTTCTCCTCCTTCCTTGTTCTCATGGTGTGTCTAAAGTATACATTTGTTGTTGTTGCTGTTGTTATCAATAACAGGTGTACTTTGGACATAACATGAGAAGAAAGCAGGAGGGAAAAGTAGGTAAGGTAGAAGGCAGGAGGCAATCCTTACAGGTGTCCTGGCTTTGCAAGGCCCCATCAATAAATCAAAACTGGGCACAAAGATGATAAGATTCCAGATTCCGACTCCAATGCATTCAACTATCATTATATAAAGCATTCTTTTTGAGTTCTTGGTAAGCAGTTCACTTTCTCCCCTTGGCTTTGCTCTCACGCCAAAGAGCTTTTGGAATTAAAACGTAAGGCAATAGAATGTTTTATGGCCACCAAAATGCACCCATTCATTCCAAAGGCAATTTATTTCTGAATGCAATAGAATGATCCAACTTTGGCAACAGAGCGCACCAAGGTTTCCAAAACCTTCTTTAGTATGCAAGGAGGGGGGGGGGGGGGGGGAGAGTATTCAAAGAAGAAAAATTAAATCTGGGAAGCCAATTATGAGGCAGCGGCCCTATTAATTACTTCGGTTCAGCCAAGAGAAGTGGCATGAATTACAGCCGCACTTGCAGACCTTCTGCTTGAGGCGGCCAAAAGGATTCTCATTCCACCAGCTTCGCTGAGCCATTTCGTGGAAGGAGAGCATTTCCCCTTTTATTGGAAATGCTTCAAGGCCCATTCAGGAAAGTCCCAAGATGGCCTTGCTTTGCAGAGCAGGTACATTCGTAATATTAAAAAATAAAATGCTAGCCTCTCGACTGGCGCAAATCTATATAAATAAAAATGTAATGTTCATTTGTGGGATTAACGTAACTAAAAAACCACTGCATGAATTGACACCAAATTTGGACGCAAGACACCTAACAACTCAATGTATGTCCTTCACTCAAAAAAATTGATTTTGTCATTTGGGAGTTGTAGTTGCTGGGATTTATAGTTGACCTACAACCAAAGAACATTCTGAACCCCACCAATGATGGAATTGAACCAAACTTAGCATACAATTCTCCCATGACCAACAGAAAATACTGGAAGGGTTTGGTGGGCAGTGTCCTTTGGTTTTGGAGTTGTAGTTCACCTACCTCCAGAGATCACTGTGGACTCAAACAATGATGGATCTAGACGAAACTCTACAAGAATACTCAATATGCCCAAATGTGAACACTGGTGGACTTTGAGGAAAATAGAATCTTGACATTTGGGAGTTGTAGTTACTGGGATTTTTAGTTCAACTACAATCACAGAGCATTCTGAACCCCACCAACGATAGAATTGGGCCAAACCTCCCACACAGAACTCCCATGTGGGCCACAGTAACACGTGGCAGGGAACGGCTAGTATATATAAATAAAATGTAAAGTTTGTTTGTGGAAGTAACATTAAAAAACCACTGGACGAATTGACACCAAATTTGGACACAAGACACCTAACAGTCCAACAAGTGACCACCACTCATAAAAACACTGAAAAACATAGCAAAAGAGACTTTAAAAGCCAAAAAAACCCCCAAAAAGTACATTACAACGCATGCGCAAAACTACACATATACACAAATACACATATACACAAATATATATACACACATACACTGACTTGGTCACAGCAATGTGTGGCAGAGGATAGCTAGTCTATACATATATATCAAAATCAATGTATGTATGTGTGTGTATTTGTCTTTTTGTCCCACAAAGGCTGTTGCTAGGTGAAGTGACCCTATGTGATGTCACTGGATTGGCTGTTGCTAGGTGAAGTGGCCTTCTGTGATGTCACTGGGAAAGAATGATGACCTGTGTATGAGGGGAAGGTTGGAACCACAAAGAGAGCAGGCCCTCTCAGAGCTGGAGAAGGGAGAAAGGGGAGGGGAGAGGAGAGGAGAGGGAAGGGAGGGAGAGGGAGAGGAAAGAAAAGAAGGAAGGAAGAAGAGAAAGAGAAGAGAAGAGAAGAGAAGAGAGGAAAGGAAAGGAGAAGAGAAAGAAGAGAAGAGAAGAGAAAGGAAAGAAAGGAAGGGGAGGGAGGGAGGGAGAGGAGGAGAAGAAAAAAGAAGGGAAGAAAAGAGAAGGAAGAAAAGGAAAAGATAGGAAGGAAGAAGGGAGGGAGAAAGGGGAGGCGAGGGAGAGGAGAGGGAGAGGAGGGGAGAGGGAAGGAGGGGAGAGGAGGGGAGAGGGAGAGGAGGGGAGGGGAGGGGAGGGGAGGGGAGAGGAGAGGAGAGGAGAGGAGAGGAGAGGAGAGGGAAGAGGAGAGGAGAGGAGAGGGAGAGGAGAGGAGAGGAGGAGAGGAGCGGAGAGGAGAGGGAGAGGAGAGGGAGAGGAGAGGAGGGGAGGAGGGGGGGGGAGGGAGAGGAGGGGAGAGGAGAGGGAAGGGGAGATCGGGAGGAGAATGGGGATGGAAGGAGGAGAAGAGAAGGAAGAGAAGAGAAAGGCAAGAAAGAAGGAAGGGAGAAGAGGAAGAGAAGAGAAGGAAGAGAAGAGAAGAGAAAGGAAAAGAAAGGGAGGTGGAGGGAGGGAGGGAGGGTAGAAAGGAAAAAAGAAGGGAAGAAAGAGAAAGGAATGGGAAAATGTATGAGAGGAGGAGAGGAAAGAAAAATAAGAGAAGAGAAAGAAGGGAAAGGAAGGAAAGAAAAGAAAAGAAAAGAAAGGAAAGGAAGGGAGGGAGGGAGGGAGGAAGGAAGGAGTGAACCAAGGGAGTGAGGGAAGAAAGTAAGTGTAGGGATGAGAACGCAAGGAAAGAGGGAGAGGTGTATGTGGGAAAGCAAGGGAAAATGGGGAAAAAGAAAGAGAAAAGGGAAATATGGGAATGATGGACAGCGAAAAGGAAGAAAGGAAAATATATAAGGGGCGGGAAGGAAACAAAGGAAGAAAAGGAGGGAGGGAGGAAAAAGTAGGGAAGAAAGAAGGGACAATAGAAGAGAGGGATGAGAGAAAAAGAAGGCAAGAGGAAGGAAGGAACTGAAGAAAGGAGCAAGTAGGCAAATGCTTCATACTCGGTAGAAATGTGCTGAAGTTTTCGCTTTTCAATTACATTCCAGGAGGACTTTTCGCTGGACTGCAGTCAGAAAATTGCAAAAATATTCCCAGGTACTAATTTTTCTAAAAAAAAACCATGAGGCATTTTCTTTCAAACGCAGCA